TAACTGGATACAAGAGAAATGAATCAAACAAAGCGCTCTGAGGCAGAACAAAAAGGCACAGTACACAACTGGTTAACAAAAAAGGAGGGGCCGCAGGAAGAGAAGCATCGTCAGCTGAAGTCCAGGGTTGAAGAGAAAGAATCCAAAACAGCGCTGCTCCAGTGTCCGCAGAAGCAGCGTCTTTAGCCAAACCAGTCCAGGTTCAGGAAGGGAGAAGTCCACATTCACGAGAAGCCAATCCGGATCAATAACATGCAAACAATCAGGAGGTCCAAACCGCAGATCCCAAACCAACGCCGAACACGAAACAGGCAGCAACAAGTCTACAAGAATCCTTTCCAATGCACAGCACCCAACACATGAACGCTCATCAACACCTTGCCTTCTGCAAGGACCCCTCACCCCTGAACCCACTTTTATTTACAAATCATCATCAGAAGATTAACTGACCACCGCCCCATCATTATCCCCCGCAGCTGCTCCCAACTCTTCACGTGAATTCCCTAGCCCTTCCCTCCAATTCCTCCATCTCCTGGCAAGACTTAGGTCCACCCAAGACTCAGTTGGATCCCCTGATTGCCAGTCTTCACCCCCAGAGAATCCCATGAAGGCATCACTAGTTGTTGGCTCCTCACTTCTCTTATCTTAGTCCAATCCATGGTGTCTCCTTCTTCTCCTTCACTCACAGGCTCTACTGCAACAGGTGGGGTTGGGGGAGTTGATTTTGTCATTTGGGAGTTGTAGTTGCTGGGATTTATAGTTCACCTACAATCAAAGAACATTCTGAACTCCACCAATGATGGAATTGAACCAAACTTGGCACACAGAACTCCCATGATCAACAGAAAACACTAGAAGGGTTTGGTGGACATTGACCTTGAGTTTTGGAGTTGTAGTTCACCTACATCCAAATAGCACTGTGGACTCAAACAGTGATGGATCTGGAGCAAACTTGGCACAGATACTCAATATGCCCAAATTTGAACACTGGTGGACTTTGGGGGAAATAGACCTTGACATTTGGGAGTTGTAGTTGCTGGGATTTATAGTTTCTCCCGACCTGTTCCAGTGGTGTCTGGGGGTGAGGTGAGGTGGGGGGAATGATTTCCAGACCTTGCCAACATGAGGCCTTGTTATTCTCAGTGTTTCCCCCTCCTGGCCACATGTCCTGGCAAATCCACACAACGAGCCTTGTGCCTTCATTTAGAGCAGCTCTTTGTACCTCCAGATTCCTGCTTCCAATCCCTTCACAAAGGGGCTCAGCCCCAACAAACAAAGAGAGACCTTCCCACTCCCGGTCATTGTAAAAAAGAAAATAGTAAAAAAAAAAATAGAGGGAGGGTTCTAAGAAGAAGAATCAGGATGCTGAAGAGCTTTGGAGTTGTAACATTGGCCTGACATTGTTGCACAATGCTAATCAAGAACAGATGAGTGCCATAGTTTCCTACATAGTAGCTTATTAGACTCTGTTGCCATTGTAGTAGCGATTTACAAAGTTGGCCAGCATGATGTAGTGGTTTGAGCGCTGGTCTACAACTCTGAGGCACCAAGTCTCCGCTTGGCTCCAAAAACCCATTGAGTGGCCTTGGGCAAGTTGTACATTCCTAGCTCCAGAAAAACCTATGAAAGCTTGGCCATAAGTCGGAGCTGGTTTGTGTTGGAGCTCAACAGCAAGATGCTGGGGATGCTGAGGAGTCTTCCTCAGAGGATGAGGGGAATTGATAGATTTTTCACTGAGTCTGTGTGTGATCAGGCTGAATCACAGACAGAAATGCAGGCCGTAGATCAGAGAGAAGGGCCGACAGCGGCAGAAGAGATAGAAGATGTTTGGGATTCTGTTTCTCAGCCTTCATGGCCTTCTCAACCTTCAGAGGATGGGAAGTTGCCCCGCAATATTAGATTAGGTTTCCGCTCAGAGAGAGCAAAGGAAAGGTTAATTAGAAGTTCAGAAAGACTTTGTAAGGAACAATCCTTGAAGGCCAGGTGCAGAAGAGTTGACCTCATGGCTTCTTGGTCAGGTTCGAGCTTAAATTAAGAGCTGGTTTCCTGGTCTCTTTAGAGCAGACAACTTTGCTTTAAAATCAAGTTCATAAATAGCTCTTAAGTTGCCTATGTTTCTGAAATAGTTTTGTCTTCCATAAGTTCCCGTTTTCCTTTTTCATGCTTATGGTGTTATGGATTTATCCATGTGCTCTCAACTTCATGGATTTCATATAGCTTGCATTCATGGATTACTTGTACTTTGCTACCTTTGACTTTGTATTTTGGACTACTGCTATATCATAGCACCTTTTCTCCTGTTTTTAAGGGGAGAATTGTCATTTCCCTTTCTGTAAATACTTCTGTAAATAAACTGTAGTTAGCTACTTCTGGACTCAGTGTGTTGCTGGATGAAGAGGTGTCCCACAACTACAATGCAACAGCTTGAAGGCACCAAGCAACAAAGCAGAACTGAAATGGGTGGGAAACCACCAAGGTTTTCCAAGGGTGGTTAGGAAAGCATCTTGTCTGAAATGCTTTTGCCACTTAGATCTTCCAGTATGCAACAAATGGTCAGGCCTATTATAAGATATGTTTGGGGGATGCTAGTGAACCAAGCAACGTTGATACATAGTCCCAGTGTCATGACTATAAATACTACAAAATGGGTCCTTCTGATTGTGTAATTGCGGGCGCAAATGGGGATGTGTGTTGGTAGTGAATGCGAGGTCCATCTGGCAGGGATCCTAAAGGTATCACCAAGAAACAAGAAAATGGTAATTGCCCCCAAGATCTTGGGAAGGGAAAGAAATGAGAGTGACACGATCCTTGACTGACATGTGAGGCTTTATGTAGATGATCATGGGGAGACCTTGCAATCTTGATGAAATAATGTTTGGTAACAGCATCACTTCTGTGCACTAACAGGAAAGGTCCTTTGAAAATAAAGTGAACCTATAATAACAATAATATATGTGCTGCCACGCACTAGGTCTGTAATAATTGATTTTTTTTGTGCCCAGCGGGGAGCCGGGGTGCCACGGGTGAGAGGCCTTCAAGGATTTTCCCATACACAGTCTTTAAAAGGCTTGAAATGTTTAACAAAGTTCTTTATTATTGCTTAGGTCTTCAATAAAACAACAAACACTTCTTGGATCTTCAACAGATTAAACAAATGCTTCTTAACTTGCCCCCAAATGGACAGGCACCTTGCTTGGAGAACTATTTCTTTCTTTATCAAGGAAAACCCTTTTTTAACCCCTCCCAGGCAATCTACTGTCTAAGCTTTGCTGATGTGGGTTCTACTACCGGTTCCAATCTGCGTCTTGGGTCCTGAGTAGACCTACCAGTCAAGGCTATGTAGCTGGAGTTCTTTGGGTCTGCAAAACTGTTTTCTTCCGAAACTTTAGGACTGTTTCCCTCAGATGCTCTAAAGCTGAGAGGCTGTAAGCTCCCAGCCAGAGCTTTGGGACTATTTCCCCCCGGAATTTCTGCCCCGGATGCTGTAGGAAATGAAGCTTTTCTACGGATGGAGCTAATCCATGTCCTGTAGCTTAGCTTTCCACTATAAGACTGAACTAAAAATGGCTCCCTCTCTTCCCATGGCCCTGGGGAAAGGGGCGGAACCAAAACTTAACAATGATAGAGAGGTGGCTAGTCCTATGATTGCAAACCAAGGGAAGCCACCTTGTTGCAAATGCATGGAACCTTGGAATATATGCAAACACTCAATAGAAAGAAAATGAAGCTGAAGCTCCTGGTACAGCTGTACCAGCACAATATACTTTATTTAAATTCTGTTCTTTCTCTCTGAACAGATTACAGAACATATATGGCAACATTCAATGCCATTACTTAGGCAATCCCTCATTGGACAAGTAAGATGGTCTTCCATTATGGGTCTCCTTGTGGGTCCGCATGTGGCTGTGGAGCCCTATTCTTGCTCTGCATCTTCTTCCGCAGTGAGGGCATTGGTTTCCAGGTGGGAGGCGGTCCCGGTCGGAGTTGGCTTGACGCGCCTTCCTCCTGGCACGTTTCTCTCTTTCACCCTCCACTCGTGCCTCCTCGAATTCTGCAGCACTGCTGGTCACAGCTGACCTCCAGCTGGAGCACTCAAGGGCCAGGGCTTCCCAGTTCTCAGTGTCTATGCCAGAGTTTTTAAGGTTGACTTTGAGGCCATCTTTCAATCTCTTTTCCTGCCCACCAACATTCCGTTTTCCGTTCTTAAGTTCAGAGTAGAGCAACTGCTTTGGGAGACGGTGGTCAGGCATCCGGACAACATGGCCGGCCCAGCGGAGTTGATGTTGGAGGACCATCGCTTCAATGCTAGTGGTCTTTGCTTCTTCCAGCACACTGCCGTTTGTCCGCTTGTCTTCCCAAGAGATTTGCAGGATTTTCCGGAGGCAGCGCTGATGGCCATTATACAGTTAACAAATACAGACAGTACATAAACAAAGATAAATGATTCTCATATTTTTCCATCTCTGGCATCCGGAGGCTGTGTACAACTCTGGCCATGGGGAGGTGCTGTTGTTCCATTTTCCATGCCAAGGAGCCTGTTGTTCATGGATGCCTTCCCCAATTGAATTGCTGGCATGTCTTCATGGACACCTTTTTATCTCCCCACCAAAGCAGTACCTATTGATCTACTCACATTACTATTTTCGAACTGCTAGGTAAGCAGAAGCTAGGGTTGATGGCAGGAGCTCACCCCAATCCGTGGCTTGAACTGCCAACCTTCTGGTCAGCAATATTTTCTGCATCTAGTGGTGTTTATGGTGGCCCTTTCCAAACTTAGTACGTTTGGAAACCTGACGGTCAGGCGAGATTCCCTCCCGATTAGTAACTGCAAAGACAAAAGCTTGGAAGTAATTAGGAGGCCACCTCCATGCTAGGACATTTGGGGAACTGGAGTCCCAAAAGGTAAACTTTCCAAGCGTCATCCTCCAGGATTTCAGGGCTGGAGCTGACCACTTTCCATAGTGGTGGCTGAGCCCTACAAATTATCCTTTCCTTTCTAGTATTCCCCGCTGCTGAAGAAGCTCTACTGTCAGATCGCCAAGACATGCCCCATCCAGATCAAAGTGTCTGGCCCTCCTCCGCCAGGGACTGTCATCCGAGCCATGCCTGTCTACAAGAAGGCCGAGCACGTGACGGAAGTGGTCAAACGGTGCCCGAACCACGAACTCGGGCGCGACTTCAATGATGGTGAGACCGTAGTATTGTTGCTTCAGTGATGGAGGACATCAAAGTTTGTGTGTGCCAGCTCTTCAAGGTCAGGGAAGAGTTCAGTACCTTGGAGAACTCTTGGAAAGCTGAGCTTAGAAAGTGTAGCTATTCAAAAAAGAATGGATAACCATCTAATTGGAAAATCTAAAAATACAAGCGTCTGGCTTCCTAAATTGAATAAAGTATTGAATAATAATAATAATAATAATAATAATAATAATAATAAGCGAGACTTTACTGTAATAATGATGAATGATGATGATGATGTAGCCATTCCATTGCCTTTCTCAAGGGGCATCTACATTGTAGAGTTAATGCAGCTTGAATTGCCACAGCTCAATGCTCTGGAATCCTGGACATTGTGGTTTGGGGAGCTACCAGAAGTCTTTGGTAGAAAAGTTTGACAACCTCATCAAACTACAACTCCCAGGATCCTATCTCATTGAGCAATGGCAGATAAAGTAGTGTCAGATCATCGTCGTCATCATCATCATCATCATCGAATACAAAGCCAGCATAGTGATCTTGTTTGTTGTGCACTAATCTTGTTGTGTTTCAAATAATAATAATAATAATAATATCCAGAGGAGGGCAACTAAAATGATCAAGGGTCTGGAGAACAAGCCCTATGAGGAGCAGCTTAAGGAGCTGCGCATGTTTAGCCTGAAGAAGAGAAGGCTGAGAGGAGATATGCTAGCCATCTGTAAATATGTGAGAGGAAGCCACAGGGAGGAGGGAGCAAGCTTGTTTACTGCTTCCTTGGAGACTAGGACAAGGAACAATGGCTTCAAACTACAAGAAAGGAGATTCCATCTGAACATGAGGAAGAACTTCCTGACTGTGAGAACCGTTCAGCAGTGGAACTCTCTGCTCCGGAGTGTGGTGGAGGCTCCTTCTTTGGAAGCTTTTAAACGGAGGCTGGATGGCCATCTGTCAGGGGTGATTTGAATGCAATATTCCTGCTTCTTGGCAGAATGGGGTTGGACTGGATGGCCCATGAGGTCTCTTCCAACTCTTTGATTCTAGGATTCTATGATTCTAATATAAATGACACAGTCCTAGACGCTTGGGAAGTGTTCGACATGTGATTTTGTGATACAAAATCCAGCAGATAGATCTCGTTTGCTGTGACATACTGTGTTTTTGTGTCAGAATAATAATAATAATAATAATAATAATAATAATAATAATAATAATTTATTCATAATCTGATCTCCCCGAGGGGACTCGCATTAATTCCACAGTGCAGAGCCAGCCTGAGATCACAGCCACCCACTGACTCCATTGCAACATATTCTTGTAGGTCCCCATTGCATATAGTTATTAGTTCAATGGAATGGCCAAGCAGACTAATAGAGCTTTAAAAGTAAATACTGGGGACCATTGACAGCAGTGGGAACCCATCTTGGTAAACGGATGGGTTGTAAAATAAATGAGTGAACAAGCCATGATTTGTTCAGGAACATGTAGAATAGTTAGACTTATATTAAAGATGTCAACTTCAATATAAGTCCACCTTTTGGGTTTTGGTTTTCAGTGGCAGAATGAGATTGGACTGGATGGTCCTTGTGGTCTCGTCCAACTCCATGATCCAAAATATTGACAACATAAGAATGATTGTTGACTTATTCTCAAATGGATAGATGCAAGATGATTTGGACTTCAGATCTCATTATCCCTTATCCACTGGACACTCATAGATGGAGTGCTGAGTGGTAAGGGATAATGGGATCAGAAGTCCAAATCAACTTGCATGCATACATTTGATAATAAGTCAACGATCATTCTTATGTTGACAATATTTCGGTGCAGTGGTGGGTTATGCCGTAGCCCTTCTCTTGGAAAGCTTTCTCTCCAGGTATAGTAAACCTCTTGTTTACATTGTCATCTCGGTTGTGATTGTGTCTATTGCAACTTTTATTTCATTATTATTATTATTATTATTATTATTATTATTATTATTATTATGTCATTTTGATAATGTTGTTGCTGTCTGTTGCATACGCTTTGATTTTATTCCTGTATTTTGTTGTCCGGGCTTGGCCCCATGTAAGCCGCTCTGAGTCCCCATCAGGGAGATGGTGGCGGGGTAGAAATAAAGATGATTATTATTATTATTATTATTATTATTATTATTATTATTATTATTATTATTATTTTCCTCTGCAGGTCTCTCGGCTCCAGCCAGCCACCTCATCCGTGTGGAAGGCAACAACCTCTCCCAGTATGTGGATGACCCAGTGACTGGGAGGCAGAGCGTCATGGTTCCTTATGAGCCTCCGCAGGTATTTTTACCTTTTTCCGATTTTGTTTTATTCATAGCATCGTGTATACTACTAGTGCCTCCATACTAGTGGCATCCTTGAAGTGACTGGATTGACCTTGAAGGAGCTGGGGGTGGTGACGGCCAACAGGGAGCTCTGGCGTGGGCTGGTCCATGAGGTCACGAAGAGTCAGAAACGACTGAACGAATGAACAACAGTGCCTATATCAGTGGTTTCCAACCCGTGGTCCGTAGATGGTCCACAAGAATTAAATATGGTCCGCGGCCTCACCATTACTACACCGTTGCAACGAGAGCGACTGGTTTCGCGAAACCCTCTTATAGGGCAGAGATTAAACCCTCTTATAGGGCAGAGATTTATTAAATATGGTGTTCTGTAGGTGAGCACATGATGACTACTGGATGGCATGTGTTCTGTCTCAGAAACTAGAGCTGATGTGGTCTATCCAATGCAATTTCCTCAATCAGCAGCCCAAATAACCAAACCAAATCTAAAGTTGACCAAAAACTGATTCATAACCCTTTTGGTGCTAATATTGGAGAGTGGTCCCTGGTCAAAGTGGTCCCTGGACAAAAAAAGTTGGGAACCACTGCTCTATACCCAGCATTTCTCACCCTTTCTTACTTTTTCTTCCCTCTCTCCCTTCATCCTTTCTTCCCTTCTTTTCTCTTCCCTTCTTTCTCTATTTTCCTTCTCTCCTCCCTTATCTTTTTCCCTTTCCTTTCTCTTCATTCCTTCTCTTAGAAATAATTAATTCCTTTTAGGAAGGGTTGGATTGCCTCCTACTGTTGGACGCAATGGCTGCAGCTTTCCTGGTGTTAGCAACTGAGCGGATTACTGAATATGGCAAACATTCAAAGCCATTATACAGTGAATTACAAAGACAGACAGTACCCAGATAGAGGCAAAGGTTTCCCCCTTTTCATCTCCGGCATCTGGAGGCTGTGCTCAACTTCTGGCTATGGGGAGGTGCTCTTGTTCCATGTTCCACACCAAGGAGCCTGTTGTCCGTGGACGTCTTCCTGATTGAATTGCCTCTTACTTCCCTGCCCTGTTGATCCACCCTCATTATTACGTTCTTGTGGGGTTTTTCGGGCTATATGGTCATGTTCTAGAGGCATTTCTCCCGATGATTCGCCTGCATCTATGGCAAGCATCCTCAGAGGTGAGGTCTGTTGGAACTGGGGAAAGGGTTTATATATCTGTGGAATGACCAGGGTGAGACAAAGGACTCTTGTCTGCTGGAGCTAGGTGTGAATGTTTCAACTGACCACCTTGATTAGCATACAATGGGCTGACTGCCTGGAGCAAACTCTTCTTGAAAGGTAATTAGATGTCCCTGCCTGTTTCCTCTCTGCTGTTTTGCTGTTGTAATTTTAGAGTTTTTTAATACTGGTAGCCAGATTTTGTTCATTTTCATGGTTTCCTCCTTTCTGTTGAAATTGTCCACATTTGTGTATTTCAATGGCTTGAAATACACAAACATGTGGACAATTTCAACAGAAAGGAGGAAACCATGAAAATGAACAAGATCTGGCTACCAGTATTTAAAAAAATTCTAAAATTGCAACAGCAAAAACAGCAGAGAGGAAACAGGCAGGGACATCTAATTACCTTTCAAGAAGAGTTTGCTCCAGGCACAGTCAGCCCATTGTATGCTAATCAAGGTGGTCAGTTGAAACATTCACACCTAGCTCCAGCAGACAAGAGTCCTTTGTCTCACCCTGGTCATTCCATAGATATATAAACCCTTTCCCCAGTTCCAACAGACCTCACCTCTGAGGATGCTTGCCATAGATGCAGGCAAAACGTCAGGAGAAATGCCTCTAGAGCAGTGTTTCTCAACCTGGGGGTTGGGACCCCTGTGGGGGTCGTGAGGGGGTGTCAGAGGGGTCGCCAAAGACCATCAGAAAATACAGTATTTTCTGTTGATCATGAGGGTTCTGTGTGGGAAGTTTGGCTCAATTCTATCATTGGTGGGGTACAGAATGCTCTTTGATTGTAGGTGAACTATAAATCCCAGCAGCTACAACTTCCAAATGTCAAAGTCTATTTTCCCCAAACTCCACCAATGTTCACATTTGGGCATATGGAGTATTCATGCCAAGTTTAGTCCAAATCCATCATTGTTTTAGTCCACAGTGCTCTCTGGATGTAGATGAACTACAACTCCCAAACTTAAGGTCAATGCCCACCAAACCCTTTCTGCAATTTCTGTTGATCATGGGAGTTCTGTGTGCCAAGTACGGTTCAGTTCCATCATTGGTGGAGTTCAGAATGTTCTTTGATTGTAGGTGAACTACAAATCCCAGCAACTACAACTCCCAAATGGCAAAATCAACCCCTCCCCAAACCCTACTAGTATTCCAATTTGGGCGTATTGGGTATTTGTGCCGAATTTGGTCCAATGAATGAAAATACATCCTGGATATCTGATATTTACATTACAATTAATAACAATAGCAAAATTAAAGTTATGAAGTAACAACGAAAATAATTTTATGGCTGGGGGTCGCCACAAAATGAGGAACTGTATTAAGGGGTCGCGGCATTAGGAAGGTTGAGAACCACTGCTCTAGAACATGGCCATATAGCCCGAAAAAACCCACAAGAACTTAGTGATTCCAGCCATGAAAGCCTTCGACAATACACCCTCATTATTGTTTTCAAAGTGCTAGGTTGGCAAAAGCTAGGGCAACAATGGGAGCTCACCCTGACCCATGGCTTTGAACTGCCAACCTTCCAGTCAGCTGCAGTTTAACCCGCTGTTCATGGCCATTAAAGAAGTTTCAAACTGCATTAATTCCACCATGTAAATACACCCTAAGAAATTCGGCATTCTTACTGTATGTCAGGGAAGTAAACACCTTACTTCTCTGTCATCTCTCTCCTTTTCCTTTGGGGCAGGTGGGCACCGAGTTCACCACCATCCTCTACAATTTCATGTGCAACAGCAGCTGCGTTGGCGGAATGAACCGGCGTCCCATCCTCATCATCATCACGCTGGAAACTCGAGAGTAAGTCGCTCGTTGCCCAAATTGCGGGATGTGGGCCAAGATGTCCATGGGGATTTCTTTTCCATCCCAAAAGCTTCTGGGAAGAACATGGGTGTGGGTGAAAAGCTCCTTCCAAGCAACACAGAAACATCTAGGTCTCCCAGTATGACTCTCCTTGGGCTGGAAGGCATTCCATTCAGTAGGGTTTATTATTATTATTGTTGTTGTCTGCAAAGTCCAGAATGCACCCATATGGTCACCCTCCCTTGAACTGACCCACTTTGCTCCTCAGTGGGCAGGTTTTGGGGCGGAGGTCGTTTGAAGGCCGGATCTGTGCTTGCCCTGGCAGAGACCGGAAAGCGGACGAGGACCATTATCGGGAGCAGCAAGCCTTGAACGAAAGCGCGGCCAAAAACGGCAACCCCAACAAGCGGAGTAAGTGACAGGGTTGTAGCTCAAGGTGGGCCCCATGTTCCAGGGATTGGGCTTTCGTAGTATGAGTGATGCCCTGATAGCTTACTTGCCATTAGATGGGAGGTGGCCCAGATTCCAACCAGTCAATAGCATCATCACCACCTCCATTTGTTTAGCTCTTGTAAGATGATCTTCTAGATCAGTGGTTTTCAACCTGTGGGTCCTCAGATGTTTTGGCCTTCAACTCTCAGAAATCCTAAAAGCTGGGATTTCTGGGAGTTGTAGGCCAAAACTCCCAGGGACCCATAAGTTGAGATCCACTGTTCTAGATCGAAGTAAGAAGGCAAGACGTTGCCTTCATAATAAGGGACCCTTATTAAGAGATAAGATGGATTCCAACAACTGACAGGCTAAGGTCAATTCCAGTATAAACAGGATTTAATGTATCTAAATGATGATATATGTTGGGACGTATTAGTCTTCCTCTTCTCTATATGCCAGAGTGCATAGGTATGTTTTTAGCAACGTTTAAAGGTGAGGAGAGAGGGGACAGTTTTTACTTCTTTTGGGAGGGAGTTCCAGAGGTGGGGAGCGATCACAAAGAAGGTCCCCTCTCTCGTTCCCACCAACCACGCTTGAGGTGGGGGTGGGACCGAGAGCAGGGCCTTCTCCATGGTCACTCCCCACCTCTGGAACTCCCTCCCTAGTGGTAAATGAAGAGGATCCAAGACTTGAAAAGAACTACTAAGGGAAAGTTCGTATTATTTTGGATATCCCCAGATACTTTCATGCTGACCAATGAATTCTCTGTTTTTTCTCCTTAACTTCACCAAACTGCCCAATGCTGAAATTATGTTGGTGCCGAAGTACTGCAAATCTCAAATGAAGCTCTTTACAATTCTTTTCCTTGTTGTCTTTCCTCTCACCCCATCCATCAGCATTCAAGCAAAGTCCGCAAGGGATCCCAGCACTGGGAGCTGGAATTAAGAAGCGGAGGCATGGAGAAGAGGAAACCTACTACGTTCCTGTAAGCAGAATTGGTGGTTCAGTTTTCATATGATATTGTTCCTAGCACCCACTTTTTGCTTGATATTCAAGCAGTATTTCTAAGTCAGAGCACGGTCCAGAGTGACTCCCAGGTGTTTTGGTGTGCTGCAGTGCTCCAGTGGGATTCCTGCCCAGGTAATCCTCAGAGCTCAAGATGCTTGTCTGTGAAAAACACACTTCTGCATTTTAGATGGATTAGGAATCAGCTGGTTTTCCCTGTAATATGCAGTAAGAGCACCCAAAGCTTCAGAGAGCTTCTGGTCAATCATTTCAAAGCTCCCTGCTTAAGTGGTGATAGCACAATCATCAGCATAGATGAAACTGGGACGATGTCAATGGTTTTTCTCTAATTCAGGTTCGGGGCCGGGAGAATTTTGAGATCCTGATGAAGATCAAGGAGAGCCTGGAGCTGGTAGAGCTGGTGCCCCAGCAGTTGGTGGACTCTTATCGGCAGCAACAACAGCAGCTCCTTCAGCGTCAGTGAGTCCTGAATGGTTCTCAACTGCAATAATGTGGGAAAGGGTGAAACAAGAGTAGTTCCATTGCAAAAATGGGAAGGGAAGGGACAATTTAGGGACAACCTTTCTTTTCCCTTGGCCTTGCTTCTCCTTGGCCTTGCGTAGAGTTCCTCCAAGCATAATGTAGACTGCGACAGAGGCCACGATGTGTAACATGATGAATATATGATAGGCAACTGTACGAGTGAACTGCAACAATGCATATGGTGCAAGAGGGACTCCCGTTGTACAATTTGTCCCTCTATTCGTTGTGCACCGAGACATATTGTGCATCTGGACATTGGAAAACAATATGCATCTAGATGTATTGCATTCTGGGAGTCATTGTGCACTGGGGCATATTGTACATCAGAAGTTGTTGTGCATTGGGACATATGGCACATTAGAATGGGTGCGTTAGGCTATATTGTAGTATTAAACACATTCATCCATCCTCATGCATACATCACAATTTCCTCCTTCTGTCATCTCCTGGAGAAGAAGACCTCTTAGGCCATACCCTGCTTTCCCTGCAGCCTGCCAACACACAGTTCCAAAACTTCCAAATGCATCTTTTCCCTTTCTCCCCATCTTTCCATTGCCACTCCCAAATACATGCACCATCTCTCCTTCCCATGGAGCAGAGTATGGCTAGTAAACAGCACAGCTGTCTGTCACAATTTTGGATTGTAATAAGGTCTCTTAAATAACAATATTTTTTGCTGATGTTGTTCCAAAATGTTTCAGGCTGTTTTTCCAGCCTGAAACATCCTGACTTCATCTCGACTCCTGGCAAATGCTGACTTGGCTTAATTGGTGTTGGTAAACATAAGGAGCCTTGTGTTGACTTCCTTCTTAACGTAAGGAACCTTGTAAACATTTCATTAACGTAAAGAGCCATTGTCTCTCATAATGTAAACACATTGTTTTTCACCATGCATTAATCAAGTCAGCATGTCAACAGTTAACTATTTGTCATAGTTCTCATCAGCAACTGTTAATTACAGTCCATTAATGTAGTTGTTTTCCAGGCCTCAATATTTTAAAATTGTGTCTTCAGCTCAATTAGGCCTCATTCATACAACTTTCATACAATTCCATTCAAACCATATATTTTTATGCATCACACAAAGTACACTGAAACACCATTCATTTGGACATATTGCACCTTGGAGCACATTAGGCATTGGGGTATATTTCACATCAGAACAAATTGTAATATATTGCACATTGGAACACATTATGCACTTTGATACATTGCATGTTGTGCATTGGAGTATATTACACATTGGAACACATTAGGCATTGAGATATCTTTCACATTGAAGCATCCAGACATATTTGGCATTGGGAATGTTGGGCAGCATCCACGTTCCTGGCACAACTGAGTCTCTACTCCCTTCTTAAGAACACAAGCAAGCATAATAGTGCAATTTACCTTTTTGTGAATGCAAGTTGGTTGTCAGTGTTGTAAATACTTATCAGGGTGCCGTCTGCTAACTCTAATTACAATGAAGGTTTCTAACTTCTCATATAACACATAACCTGATCCAGGTAAGTTTGGTTCAATTCCTATCACTTGCCTCTCTCCCTGAGCAGGACTCACCTGCAGCCTCCATCTTCGTACGGTCCGGTCCTGTCCCCAATGAACAAGCTCCATGCAGGAGGGGTCAACAAACTGCCATCGGTGAACCAGTTGGTTGGGCAGCCACAGCAGCATGGCCCCAGCTCTGGACCTAATCTGGGCCCTATGGGTAAGGCACAAGAAACAGAATTTTCCAATGTATTGTCGAAGGCTTTCATGGCCGGAATCAATGGGTTGTTGTAGGTTTTTTCAGGCTATACCATGGCCATATAGCCCGAAAAAACCTACAACAACCTAGAGTTTTCCAAATTTCCCTTTAGGTTGCATTAACAGCAATATAGTGTCTAGAGATGGAGGGAAGTAAATAGACCACTCTATCCTTTGGTAAGACCTATCCTGAAATAAGGCTGTGTCCCAATTCTGGATATGGAAAAGCTGGAAAGTGTCCAGTTTGCCCAGTTCTCAGGAAAGCAAATCAAGAAGGAGTGTGTCCAGAGAAGAATTCCAATGGCAAGAAAAGAGATTCCACCTAAACATTAAAAAGCATTTCCTGACAGTCAGAGCTGCCTGGCAGTGGAATATGTGAGGAGAGGAGAGGGTTACATCCAAGGTGTGGGGAGAGTGGTACATTCAAAGTCGGGTCCTTAGGTAAATGGCCATCACCAGTCTTCTGATCGAGGGAGGCAGGATCGGTCATGTGGAGGGGGAGATACCAGAAGGGGAGATCTAAATTAATTGAGCCTAGGGAAAGAGAGAGAATTTGTAGTTCCAAAACAGTCTCCTGACATGGTAAACTTGGGTACCGAGGATGGCAGTGTCTCCGGATTAAGGGTGATGCTGTTGAATGCCAGGTCTGTAAACAGAAAAACAGCTATCATCCAGGCCCTAATCCTGGATGAGCATGTAGACTGGAGTTCATAATGGAGACCCAGTTGGATGAGGCGGAGGGGGGGGTGGTCAATCTCTCTCAGCTCTGTCCACTAGGCTACTCTGTGCAGCACCTGCCAAGATCTGGAGGGCAAGGAGGCAAGGTTGCATTGGTCTATAGGGATTCCATCTCCCTGACCAGGTGCCCCATCCCACAGTCAACCACATATGAGTGTGTCCATCTGAGTGTAGGAGACTAGGACAGAATAGGGATTTTACTAGTGTACCAATCACCCCGCTGCACTACAGTCTCCCTGCCTGAGCTAGCCAGGGTGATCTCAAGCCTGACATTGGAGTCACAACAGTTTATAGTACTGGTGGACTTCAACATCCATGCGGAGACCACTCTGTCAGGAGCAGCTCAGGATTTCATGGGTACCATGGCAACCATGGGGCTGTCCCAATTAGTTTCTGGCCCTACCCACAGAACCGGGCACACACTGAATTTGGTTTTCTGCCAGGGGTGGGAGAAAAGTGGCAGTGTGGAGGAGCTGTCCATTGCTCTGTTGCGATGGACCGACCACCACCTAGTCAGGTTTAGACTTATCACACCCCCTAACCTCTGCAAGGATGGAGGACCAAGGAGGCATATGGATCTGGAGGGATTCCTGACAGCTCTTTGGGAATTTCTCACCACCTTGGTAGATAATCCTATCGATGCTCCAGTCTCTGAAATAGGGAGTTGGCTAGGGCAATCGACACAATCACTCCTAAATGTCCCCTTTTACATAGAAGAGCTAAATCTACACACCACTGAATATTGCCATGTTGTAAGCTGTTCAGAGTCCCCTTTAAATCTATATAAATAAAAATGCCATGTTCGTTTGTGGGATTAACGTAACTCAAAAACCACTGGATGAATTGAGACCTAATTTAGACACAGTACATCTATCAGGCCAACGAGTGACCATCACTCATAAAAACACAGCAGAAGAGACTTATATATCCAAAAAACAAAAAAATGCATTACAACACATACACAAAACTACATATATACACATAGACACAAATATATATACACACATGTATGCATATATACACACAAAACATAGATACACAAATTGGGCTACAGCAATGCGTGGCAGGTGATGGCTAGTAAAGAAATAAGGAACTGGAGCTGACAGACTGGAGCTCACCCCATCTCACGGATTTGAACTGCCAACCTTCAGGTCAGCAGTTCAGCCAGCCTTCAGGTCAACAGTTCAGCCAAACTTCAGGTCAGCAATTCAGCAGCACATGGGTTTAACCCATTGTGCCACTGCAGCTCCTCAAGGTTTGCACCATGAGTCCCAGTGACCAAGGAGATTTACCTCTGGAAGTGTGTTTGCAAACTCACAGGGGCTTGTTGTTCTTTCTTGGACCAGGGCCAGGAATACTGAATAGCCACCCCATGCAGACCAATGGAGAAATGAATGGCGGTCACTCTTCACAGTCAATGGTCTCCGGGACGCACTGCAGCCCCCCTCCACCCTACAACCCAGACCCAAGCCTTGTCAGGTAGGTTGGTGGTTCCCATGTGATTTGGTGGCAACCGTGGCATTGTCGGAATGTGCTTGACACTACCTTCATTTCCACAACTGATTGATTTCCCTTCCTTCTGCAGTTTTTTGACAGGCTTGGGGTGCTCCAACTGCATTGACTACTTCACCTCACAAGGCTTGCAGACCCTTTACCAGCTGCAGAATTTAACCCTAGAGGTAACTAACTGTGCTCTTTGGAAAAGATCTGTTGCGCCTTCTCTCTCAGGACCTTCAGGCTGAAAGGAAAAAGAAAGCATTGCTGAGAGATGTGGGCCATGTAGGAAAATCCAAAAGGATCCCTGAAGATATTTTTGCTCATATGTCGAATATATTTTGGAGTAACTATTCAGTTTGTATTTTGGGTATATGCTTATGCTTTTCCTGACAGCTTCCTCTTGCTCCTTAAACTGTTAGTGAAGATCTAAAGCTCTGAAATGTTACCCTTCTGGATTGCTACAATGTTACCCTTCTGGATTGCCCCTGGCCACATGGCCCCATCTACACTGCCATATAATGCAGTTTGAAACTGTATTATGTGATCAGTATAGACTCATATAATGCAGTGTCCACTCATATAAAGCCTCCCCACCTTACCATTCCCATTATTCTTCCAAATCAATCATTAGGAATTGTTGGCAGTCCTTTGTTGCTGATGTGGTATTTGAATGCAACTACCCTACATACTAATGAATAATATACGGGGTGGGTCAAAAAGTTTTGCCTCCTGTGCCATAAAAACATCATGAATGTTGACAGATTAGATCTTGACAGATTAGAGAGATGATTGGCCAAAACTAACAAAATGAAGTTCAACAGGGACAAATGCAAGATACTCCACTTTGGCAGAAAAACGAAATGCAAAGCTACAGAATGGGGGACGATGCCTGGCTCGAGAGCAGGATGTGTGAAAAAGATCTTGGAGTCCTCGTGGACAGGAAGTTAAACATGAGCCAACAATGTGATGTGGCGGCAAAAAAGCCAATGGGATTTTGGCCTGCATTAATAGGAGTCTAGTGTCTAGATCTAGGGAAGACATGCTCCCCATGCTCTATTCTGCCTTGGTTAGACCACACCTGAAATATTGTGTCCAATTCTGGGCACCACAATTCAAGAGAGATATTGACAAGCTGGAATGTGTCCAGAGAAGGGCGACTCAAATTATCAAGGGTCTGGAGAACAAGCCCTATGAGGAGCGGCTTAAAGAGTTGTGCATGTTTAGCCTGAAGAAAAGAAGGCGGAGAGGAGATATGATAGCCATGTATAAATATATGAGAGGAAGTCATAGGGAGGAGGGAGTAAGCTTGGTGTCTGCTGCCCTGGAGACTAGGACGCAACGGGACAATGGTTTCAAACTACAAGAAAGGAGATTCCATCTGAACATGAGGAAGAACTTCCTGACTGCGAGAGCCGTTCAGCAGTGGAACGCTCTGCCCCAGAGTGTGGTGGAGGCTTCTTCTTTGGAAGCTTTTAAACAGAGTCTGTATGGCCATCTGTCAGGGGTGTTCTGAATGCAATATTCCTGCTTCTTGGCAGAATGGGGATCTTAATGCAGGCTAAAATCCCATTGGCTTTTTTGCCGCCGCATCACATTGTTGACTCATGTTTAACTTGTTGTCCACGAGGACCCCAAGATCCTCGTGGGCATTGTCCCCCATTCTGTATCTTTGCATTTCATTTTTTTTCTGCCTAAGTGGAGCATCTTGCATTTGTCCCTGTTGAACATAATTTCGTTAGTTTTGGCCCATCTCCCTAATCTCTTAAGATCGTTTTGAATTCTGCTCCTGTCTTCTGGTTTCTGGTTTCGCGAGACCAGTCGCTTTTGTTGCTGCGTGGTCTCAAGGCAAGAGTGTAGTAATGATGAAGCTGCTGGCCATATTTTTGTTCTTATGGACCACTGGTGGTGAACGGACCACAGGTCTATCTGATAAATAAAGTAATCATCTCTGAATAGAGTGACGAAAGGCAAGAAGTCTGTCTCAAGAGAACCTAAAAAATGTATTGACCCTAAGACAGCATTGGTCCTTTCCCCCTCTTTACAGAATGACCTCAACTTATTTATATCACAGTCCATAATTGTGGCCTCAAATCTTGTCCTCAATATAAGCCTCATATTGACTTACTCATCATCCAGGTGCCTTTTTGGTCTCTTCCAGTTCTAGGATTCCATGACTTGATTCCTCACTCACATTTTCCTTTGCAGGATCTTGTTCTGCTGAAGATCCCTGAGCAATACCGGATGATAATCTGGAGGGGCCTCCAGGACCTGAAGCAGGGCCATGACTACGGAGCCCAGCAGCTCATCCGCTCCAGTGGCAACGCCTCCACCATCTCCATCGGCACGTCGGGGGAGCTACAGCGGCAGCGCGTCATGGAGGCCGTTCACTTCCGCGTGCGCCACACCATCACCATCCCCAACCGCGGCGGGGCGGACGAGTGGGCGGACTTTGGCTTTGACCTCCCAGACTGCAAGTCCCGCAAGCACTCCATCAAAGAGGAGTTCACGGAGGGAGAAATCAACTGAGCGCATCGGAAGGGGTGAACGGACTTAGATGAGTTCAGAAACGTATTGGGCAGGAAAGCCAAACAGAAATGAGCCACCCAAAGTATTTTTCAGAACTTGTGGCACAATGGTGGTTCGCCTGGCGGAGCCTTGGGCACAAGCCACCACTACCTTCCGGTCGTGTCCTTTCCACGCTAGACAACTTACACAGTCAACCGGCAATAGATGTTTGGTGTCCACCTTCAGCCTATGAACCAACTGCTACGTTCCCATTGTCTTTGTAGTACATCGCAATACAAAAGACCAATCTGTTTGCTCCATTAAGGAACAGTGGTTTGCTTGGAGAGCCATTGGCACAAGCCATCGCTACCTACGGGTTGTATTCTTTCCCATCTAAACGAATTATGAACTCAACCAGCATTAATTGCTTGGTGGTCACATTCAACTGATGGACATGTCTTGGTTGAAACAAACCACTACGTTCCCATTGTCTTTGTAGTATATCGTAATGCAAAAGACCAATCTGTTTGCTCCATTAAGGAACAATGGTTCGCTTGGAGAGCCATTGGCACAAGCCATCGCTACCTACGGGTTGTATTCTTTCCCATCTAAATGTCTTATGAACTCAACCAGCATTAGATGCTTGGTAGTCGCGTTCAACTGATTGGCATGTCTTGGTTGAAGCCAACGGTTACATTCCCATTGTCTTTGTAGTATATCATAATGCAAAAGACCAATCTGTTTGCTCCATTAAGGAACAGTGGTTTGCTTGGAGAGCCATTGGCACAAGCCATCGCTACCTACGGGTTGTATTCTTTCCAATCTAAACAACTTATGAACTCAACCAGCATTAGATGCTTGGTGGTCACGTTCAACCGATGGACATGTCTTGGTTGAAACCAACTGATCGTTCCCATTTGCTTTGTACATTGCCATGCAAAGGACCAGCTTGTTTGCACCATTAAGGAAAAATGGTTCATGGGTAGAGTGTTGGCAGTTTGTGTTCTTTCCATGCTAGACAACTTATGCACTCAACCAACAGTAGATGTTTCACATTCAAAAGAGGAACATTTTGGTTGAAACCAACTAACCAGCAGTAGATATTTGGTGGTCATGTTCAACCCATGGTCATGACTTGATCGAAACCAACTGATACGTTGCCATGTTCTTTGTCCATCACCATACAAAAGACTCACAGGTTTGCTGCATTGATGACCACTATGTTTTTTTATATCTACTTTCTCAAAGATGGTTGGACTGGATGGCCCTTGTACTCTATTCCAGCTCTGACTTTGGTCTTATTCCATGGCTTCTCTTGCCTTGGAGCATCAGGAAGACCGCTTCGTACCAAACTTATTTTCCTTCAATAGACTGCCAAAAATGTGTCCCCCTCCCCGCCCCAATCCTACCATTCTTTCTAGAATGAGAAAACATCTTTTTCCTCCATGATCTGGAGGAACCCTCACCTTAGAGGGACGTTTCTGTGTACATTGTACATATCCTATGTTGTTGTAAGGTTTATTTGTGAGTGTGTGTGTGTGTTGGCTGTTAGGTAAAGAACGCACAGATGAGCAAGACGTGCTCTGCTGCAAACACAAAGAGGAAGATTTTTAATTCTATCCCAATCCTGCCAAGAAAAAAAATACACAACGATTTGTATAGTCAGGGGTTTCACAAGTGTTTTGAAACTGTTCCACAAGTGAATTGTCAAATACTTAACAGCTTTGGGAATATATATATATATATATATATATATATATATATATATATATCACTTTATTTACGAGGGGTATTTTTTAAGTAAGGTCCGTTGGAACATAAATACACAACGAAAGTTAATTTCAAAAAAAATGTTAATTTATTTTCAGAAAGTACATACTTCACTCTATTTTTCGACATAGTTGCCAAGTTTGTTCAAACACTTATCATGCCTCTGAACCAATTTTAAAATACCCTCTTCATAAAAATTTGCCACCTGCTTCGATAACCAAGAGTTCACTGCCGTTTTCACGTCGTTAGGAGTTTCGGGACCCAACGGGAGCACAGTTTCCTAAACTTTAGGTGTTCAGAAACAATGTTGTAAAGCACTGATCTCAACACGTCAGGAAATTTGTTTGAGAGACCTGTTATTGTGAAGCGCCTGTTCTCACAAATCCTCACTTCAACTGAAGCCACCAAATTGTCTGTAATCGAAGAAGGGCGACCGGAACGATCCTCATCATGGATGTCGTCACAGCCATCTTTGAATTGTCGTACCCACTTACGCACTTTGCTTTCACTCATAACAGTATCACCGTACACTTCACAAATCTGTCGTTGAATTTCTGCAGCAGGCAGGTTCCTTGCTGACAAAAACCGTATCTCTGAGCAAACCTCACATGTGGCGGGTGAGTTGATAATCTTAAACATTTTTAAAGCACAGGACAGAACCGTACAGGTTAGCTACAGAGCAGAAACTGAGCACAGTTGTTCCCGAGGCATGCCGGTACATGACGCACACGCTCATTGCGGTATGTGCGCGAACTACTAGTGTCTACAACAAAACGGACCTTACTTAAAAAATACTCCTTGTATATTCTGCTCAATCTCCACGAGGGGATTCAGAGAGAATTACAGTATACACAGATATAGGCAAACATTCAATGCCTTTTATACTGTGACCAATGACATACAATACTCAAAGACAAAGGTTTCCCTTTCCATCTCTGATGTTTGGAGGCAATGCTCAGCTCTGGCCACAGGGAGGTGCTCTTGTTCCATTTTCCATGCCGATGAACCTGTTTTCTCTCCTGGTCATGTTTTGCCAGCATGGCATGGTATCTTTTGATCTACTCACATTACATGTTTTTGAACTGTTAGGTAGGCGGAATCTAGGGCTGACAGTGGGAGCTTACCCTGACCTGTGGCTTCCAATTGCCAACCTTCCAATCAGCAAGTTTTTTCTGCAGTGGTTTATCCCACGGTTCTATACACAGACACACAGCCATTATATATGTGTGTGTGTGTGTGTGTGTGTGTGTGTGTGTGTGTGTGTGTGTGTGTGGAAATACCCTCAATTTGGATGCAGTTCGGATGTTTAGCACTTCTGAAACAAGTTCCAACATGCCTGCTTGCTGCTTGAATCAAAAGGAGCCTGTGATTCTTAAGCCTCTGATGTGTTCAGATGTAGCTGTGATGGAGATAAAATTCACAGGGCAACCAAGCCCTGCTGAGAGGTGAAGCCAATTCACTAAAAAAATGTTGTTTTAAAAATCTTTGTAAATTCACCAAAAATCCATGGATAAGTCAAACGCTCTGAAATTTGGTGAGGCAACAATGGTAAATGTGTTCTACCTCTGTAGCAAGTTTCATCAGGATAGCTCAAAAGATGAGGGAGAGAGAAGCTCCTCAATTTTCCCCACTGACAGTAATACTTTCCTTAATGCGCATGCGCAACGACCATTAATGAGGTCCTTACGAAGCTTCAGAAGTTTGGTAAAGTTTTGAAATTTTTACCTCCAAAATTCAGAAATTTAGAAATAAAGCACCAGTGCCCTCTACTTTTGAAGAAAGTTTAGAACCATTTTTTATTGCACGTGCCATATATATTCACATGTATAGAACTATCTATACATCCATGCCATTTCTTTACGTCGTTGCCCCCTCCATCATTAGCACTTCCTTAATTTCAGAAGCAGTTTGGGCTTCAACGGATACAACACACCTATCAATGGGTATTCTTCAGTTCAGCCCTTCCTAAATTTTTATCTCTGGAATCTAGAAAAGAACCACCTTGCCTCATTCTTCTTTCCTTCTTCAGGGCTTCCCATTGGAAGGCTAAGAACAATAGACGGAATGGGACTTCCATCCATTTAAGGTCAAAAGTTCCCAGAAGTTCAGCATGACCCATTTAAGCTGTAAATATTCTGTGCTCTGCTTCAAATCCCCTTCGGGGTGAGAAGGGTAGAATATAAATGTTTTTAATTAATTAATTAATTAATTAATTAATTAATTTGTAGAGCCTGAATAAGGAAGAGATTTTTCACTCCAAATCATGGAAACTTTCTAGGTCAATGGTTCACAACCTGGGGTCCCCAGATGTTTTTTGCCTACAACTCCCAGAAGTCCCATCTAGTTTACCAGGTGTTAGGATTTCTGGGAGTTGAAATCCAAAAACATCTGGGGACCCCAGGTTGAGAACCACTGTTCTAGGTTAAAGAATAGTCTTGGCCCCCTCTGTACTGCCATGTATATATTCTTTATTTATATTCCACTCTATTCCACTCCCTGACGGGACTCGGAGTGGATTACAGAACACATCTACAGCAAACATTCAAGGCCATTATACAATTTGACAAGGACAGACAATACATAAACAGAGGTATAGGCTTTCTCATCATTTTCTATCTGGGAGCTGTACTTGACTCCAGCCACGGGGAGGTGCTGTCGCTCCATCTTCCATGCTGAGGAGCTTTTTGTTGTCTGTAGATTATTGAATTATCGGCATGACCTTATGGGTGCCTTTTATTACCCATAAAGTGATACCTATTTATCTACTCACATTACTGTTTTCGAACTGCTAGGTGAACAGAAGCTGGGCTCATGACCGGGAGCTCACCCCAACCTAAGCTTGAACTGCCAGCCTTTTGACTGACGAGATTTTCCACAGCTGGCAGTTAACCCGCTGTGCTAAAGCCTGGATGTATGCATCACATAAGTCTACACTACACAATGTCTGCATTATATGGCAGTGTAGATGGGGCCATTGACAGCTGCCTTATCTTTGAGATTTAAGGCTTTCCCAGATAGTACGGCAAGTGGAAGGGGATTGTGGGGATAGTTTATGATGTGTCAAGCAGCATCAATGTGCTGGACCCATAACCCGTCAGAATGCATTAAGGAGCCAACATGCGAAAGCTTTGCTGTAGGGACTACATTCGAAGAGATGGAAGTGATGCAGTGGTAGAAGGAGTCCCAATCCTACCAATGTGTTGGGCACATTTCTGCTTTCTTGACTCGGGAGGTTACCCATTTGCGGTGCACCTTGAGTACATCCCCAAAGGATTCTTCTTCACGCTAGCATTCTGTTTGCGGAAATGCACAGAGTGTGTTTTGTGGTATTAATACATTCATTACACACTTGGAAAGAGGGGGAAACCATTGCTTGCATCCATCTACAGTAAAGTCTTGCTTATCCGACCTTCACTTATCCGACATTCCGTCTTATCCGACGCTCTTATCTGACACCCTCCTTTTCCTCCAACATTTTCCCTTCAGTTAAAGGAGCACCCCCCAACTCTCTCTCCATTCCCAGTAAGTGAAAAAGGCAAGACGAGGAGGAGGAGGAGGAGGAGGAGGAGGAGGAGGAGGAGGAAGGAGGAAAGGGGGAAAAGAGGCAGGACCAGAAGCGGAAACTTCCTCCCTCCTTCCCTCTGTGATTTCCTTGCTCCTCTTCTGCATCTGGGCATTTCCTGCTGGGCCGCTCTAGCCCCCAGGCGTTGCCTTGCCTTAAAGTCCCTGTTTATATTCTACGTGTCTAGTACCACAACATTTGGGTAACAGTAAGAGACTCCATATTATCCAACGTTTTCATTCATCTGACATTCTACCGGACCGTTTATGTCAGATAAGCGAGACTCTACTGTTTTTAATTTGCTGTCGTTTTTCTGCCTATCACAGTTTGTACGTCTGTTTTTTTATGGCAGCAACTCAGTATAATTGTTTTCCTCCTTATTTTTCAATGTTTTGGTTTTCAAACCCTTGCAGAGCAAGGAGGAAGTATTATATTAAGCTTAATAGATCAAGTTATAGTCTTTAGCATGTTTTTACACTCCCTCCCCTGTTTCCAAATTTCAGATGCAGAAACATAACCCCATCATTCATGGTGGTCTGTTCAAATGTTCATCAGAGATCATCAAAAATAATAAAGTGAAGATGGCAATGTGTATGGCATTGATCCTCAGGTGGAAATATCACAGGTGGAAACCAAAACCAAACAAAATCAGAATGGGGTCAAGGGGGGAAAGGTTATTAATGGGGGGAAAGCACCTAAACTAGGAGAGGCTGTTGCACACAAACACAAAGAGTGTTCTGTTTGTCAGAAAAATTGTGAGATTTCTTTTCATGGTAATGATATATTTGGGGTAAAATGTGTTAGTTTTATAGCTCTCTCTTTTTGTTAGTAACACAATAAACGTATTACAAATGTTGTTTGCTTCCAAAGGGAGAATGAAACCTGACTATCTGACTCTGTATTGCATGTAGACATACACTTCTATCTCTATGTTTTCCCTTGTCTTTATAAGCCTTAACTTCTCTGACCCTGGTACTCAACAAAAAAGCTCCTGTTTTGTAGCAGATTTCCTATGAAGTGGGTGGGGTAGTAGTCTATGAAGACAGTTTGTGTAATCTGCTGCCTTTCAAAACCATGTGTTGACTCAGGTTCAACACCTGTGATGTGCTCGCTCCATCTATGTTTAACATTTACACAAATGATCAGCCACTGCCAGAAAGAACAGGAGTTTCCTCTATGCTGACGATCATGCCATCACTGCTCAAGCAGGGAGCTTTGAAATAGTTGAACAGAAGCTCTCCACAGCTTTAAGTGCTTTTGCTGCCTATTACAGGGAAACCCAACTGATCCATCTAAAATGCAGGCATGTGCTTTTCATCTTAAGAACAGACAAGCATCTTGAGCTCTGAGGTTTACCTGGGAAGGAATCCCACTGGAGCATTGCAGCACACCAACATACCTGGGAGTTACCCTGAACTGTGTTCTGACTAATAAGAAGCACTGCTTGACTATCAAGCAAAAAGTGAGTGCTGGGAATAATATCATATGAAAGTTGACTGGCACAACATGGGGATCACAACCAGACACAGTGAAGACATCTGCCCTTGTGCTTTGCTACTGAATACACATGCCCAGTGGAAAATACATCTCAGGACGTTAAAACAGTGGATGTGGCTCTTAATGAGACATGCTGCATTATCACAGGATGTCTACACCCAACACCACTGGAGAAATTATATTGCTTAGGCAGTACTGCACTACCTGATATCTATCGGGAAGTAGCAGCCAGCAATGAAAGGACCAAGGCAGTGACATCTCTGGCCCATCCTCTGTTCAGATATCAGACAGCATGCCAACGCCTTAAATCAAGAAATAGCTTCCTAAGATCTACAGAGATACTCGCAGGAACACCTCAGCAAGCAAGAGTCCAAAAGTGGCAGGTTAAAACCCAGAACCTCAATTAGAGGATGGATGAGCCCCCCCCCCCCCCCGAGCACACAGAAGGCTGGGTGACTTGGAAGGCACTGAACAGACTGCGCTCTGGCACCACAACGAGATGCAGAGCCAACCTTAAGAAATGGGACTGCAAAGTGGAATCCATGACATGCGAGTGAGGAGAAGAGCACACCACAGACCACTGACTACAATGCAACCTGAGCCCAATGGAGGACTTTCTAACAGTGACACCAGAGGGACTCCAAGTGGCCAGCTTCTGGTCAAAGGACAGTTAGTATAATGCCAAGCTTTTAACTTGGTTTGTGTTCTTTTAAATACATTATAACTGTATTCTCAATTTGCTGCTGATACGATAAATAAATAAGTAAGCTTTTACCAAACTAAACAAAAAAGGCAAACTTTCAGAGAATTTAGACCCAAAACAATATTAATTAGGGGGAATGAACCTTTAATCACCTTCATCATTGACGGGACTCTTTGCTTCATTAGAAGGTGGCATTCTTTGACCTGGTCTAGAGTCCTTTGCCATTATTTGCTTATCTGTGGTTGGTTTCCATCCCTCAAAATGGTGGGGTGCAGGAATCCCAAACACAACACAATCTGTGAACACAATGTATGAACATTCCTCACATTATCTGTTCTGGATCTTCTGCTTCCAGAGAAGACAGTTCTGTGGTTTGCCCGGTTTCCTTCCGAAGATAGCCTTTGCCCCAAAGCCATCCCTTGAAGCCTTGAAGTCTTCTCAGAAATGGTTTCTGGGCATCCGTCTACGTTCAACCAATGTACCTGGTTGTACCCCAACCACAGGGCACCAGGTTCAGTTCTGGGGCCCACTTCCATCGCAACTGCAGAAGCCAAGAAACAATCGAGGACAACTCGGTCTTGTGGTTGACGTCCTTCTTGCCAGTTAGTGAATTGGTTTCCTTGATATTGTCGATTCAGACAATATTCAGGTATTTGCAGAAAGCCTCCTGCATGCAAAATAAAATAAAACACACAGATGGAGCAAAACGAAAAGGAGACTCGTATCAAAGATTATGACCATATTGCAAAACATTGCCTAGAATTTGGCCTGTGCAATTTGATGACAAGAGTTTCACTCTTTTAGTGTATAAGCATCGTCATCAATATCTTGCTTTTACATCTTGCCTAGTATTGCCCGGATTTCCAATTATTATTATTTTTTGTGGCTCTCTCTTTCCTTTCTCCCTTTCCCTTATACATCATCTCCCTCTCTCTTTTCTTTCTTTCCCCCTTCTTCCCTCACACACCCTCTTTCTTTCTTTTTCTTTTTTCTTTCTTTTTTATTTTCCTTCTTTTATCTTCCTTCTTCTTCTTCCTTCCTTCTCTCTCTTTTCTTCCTTCTTTTTCCCCTTCCTTCCTTCTTTCTCTCCTCCCTCCCTCCCTTCTCTACTTCCTTCCTTCTTTCTCCCCTTCCTTCTTTCTCTCTCTTTTCTTCCTTCTTTTCCCCCTTCCTTCCTTCTTCTTCCCTTCTTTTCTCTTTTCTTTCATACCTACTTCCTTTCTTTCTTTTTTCTCCTCCCTCCCTCCCTTCTTTTTTCTTTTCCCTTTTCTTCTTTCTTCCCTTCCTTTTTATTTTCTCTTCCTTCATTCCTTTCTTTCTTTTCTTCCCACCCCTCATACCTTTTCCCCATTCCCTTTCTTCCCTTCTTTCTTTTTCTCCTTTCCCTTCTTTTTCTCTTTCCTTCCTTCCTTTCTTTTGCTTCTTTTCTCTTTGCTTCTTTCTTCCCTTCCTTCCTTCCTTTCTTTCTTTCTTTCTTTCTTAATTTCTTTTTTTTTCTTTTTTTCCCACCCTCATGCCTTTTTCCCATTCCCTTTCTCTTCCTTCCTTCCCTTCTTCTTTCTTACCTCCTTCCTTTCTTTCCTTTCTTTTTCTCCTCCATCCCATCCTCCGTCCCTCCCCCTCATATGCATGTCACCTAACAGCAGCCAATTCAGCGCTCACTTTCATTCCCAATCACTTTCCCATCTTTCTGGTTTCCTCCTTTAAAAAGTTCTTGTGTTCAACAGAGCCACCACTAAAAAATAATAATTTATTGCATTAATGCCTTCATTGTTCCTCACTGGAAATCCGCAGGAGCCTTCCTCATATCCGTGGCCACTGCAGTTCTTCCCTCCATGCTTTGAGGCTGGATTGTTGCACTGCCGGGTTCGGCTCACAATTGCAAGTCCGCAGGAGACAGGACAAGGAGCCCACGAGGTCCAAGCAGACCACCCTCCATCCACTGTTGGGAAGACAAAACAAAGAATGCCCCTTGTTAAGCGGGATGTGAAAGCTTGCTGCAACAACATTTTGAAACAGAGACTGGATGGACATCTGTCAGGAATGCTTTGATTGTGTTTTCCTGTATAGTCGAGGGTTGTCTTAAACTGTTGCATTCTGGCCTGAAGTCACCTTTGCACCCAGCACCGCACAAGAGTCCAGTGTTAATAATGAAACAGTTCATTGAAGAAAGCAAATTGCTTTTAAAATGCAACAGTGCAGACATCAAAGTTCTGTTCAAAAGAGAGACAGTACATGAAAGAACCAGGAATCAAAGCATAAGTATAATCCATAATCGGGAATGTAGGAACTTCTTCCAAAACATGAATCCATGAACATGAGCAAAAGACTTTCCCAAAGTTCTTAGACATAGACTTGAACGTGGACCAAGATCCATGGTGTACACAGTAACGCAGCGTTGCCTGTTCTGACCCTTTCATAGAATCATAGAGTCATAGATTTGGAAGAGACTTCATGAGCCATCCAGTCCAACCCCCTGCCAAGAAGCAGGAAAGACAGTAAACAACATTTTAATTTAAGGTCCACAAGCCACAAAGTCATGTCTTTGACATCCGGTCTGTTTCAAGGATTTTTCACAGAGTTTCTGTGACCTCCATAATCTGACTCCATCTTCCCAGAGATCAAGACTTAAACTCCTACTGACCTCAGGTGTTTCCCCAAGGGAAATATCTTTCCATTCCAGCTCCTTATCTTCTGTTGCCAAGGGATGACCAAGGGAAAGATCTTCCCTATCTGCCAAAGCCCAACCATCTCCTCCCAGCTCTGAAGCCATTTATTTCTGACCAGACAGAGACCCATCCTCCCAGACAGAATCATGATGCAAAATCCTCTCAGTTCCCACACTGGAAATGCCGTCATTCCTCACAACCTCTGGCTGAACCATCTCCTCGTCTTCAACCTCTGGCTGAACCACAACATAAACCTATATACATGAGGCAAAGCAGGGCAAAGTATGAACTTCTTGTTGTGTGCCTTCTCATTGTTATGGCAACCCTATCATAAGGCTGAGAGTTTGTGACCAAAGGTCATCCAGTGGGCTTCCATGGCAAAGTGGTGACTCAAACCCTGATCTCCAGAGTCAAAGTCCAATGTTCAAACCACAATGCCATATTGGTTCTCTCATTCATAGTGTCACCATAAGTTGATGCGGACCTGAGGCAGTTAACACCAAAGCAGGACTTAAGAACATCATAACACTTGGAATTCACATTTACAACCATTACACCATTGCAAAGCGCTCCTCAAAGCCCACCTTAAAAGCCAGGAAGTCACACCAACATAGGGATTTCCAGGGCTCTGGAATGGGTTGAAGAGTAAAGGGAAGGGAAGGCAAACAAAGGATGGAGAATCAAAGCCTAATTGCCAAAGCTACAGTCCAATGACGTTCTTTCCTGGTTTTGTGTGGAACCGGGAAATTAGATCATGCCTTAGCTTACCCTGGCCTGTGCATACTTGAAACAAGGGAAATGGGAGCAATGAAGGGGAGGGGCCAGGATGAAAAATAGGAGGTGTGAGGGAAAGAAACTGTCAGTTGGAATTTTTTTTACTACACAGTATGCTTTTAGAAATAAAGCCTTCGCACTCTGAGAGGTAATTTCTTCATCAGAATGCTGCACAACCAGACATGCTGCAACATTCTGGTTCGCCACCCAAATCCATTGAACAGAGAGAAGAAAGTCCTTTTGAGAGAAGGAAGTCCTTCTAACAAATATTACAGAATCCTAGAGTTGGAAGGAACTATGAAGGCCATCTTAGCCCTTAAAATCAAAGTTGGAAGAGACCACATGGGCCATCTATTCAATCTTGCAAGAACAGCACAATTCAAGCACCCCACACTGATGTGATTCAAAAGCCTTCAAAGAAGGAGCCTCCAACACCCTACTGTGAGGAAGCGTAAAATTACTGCCACCAATCTGTAAGCGTTTGTAAAGGAGCCACCACTTTGTGAGGGTTTATTTAACTGATAGCTAATAATATTGATTTGGTCTTTCTTCTGTGTAGCGTGACTTAACTTGGAAAGGAAATGTAACAGGGACAAGGCTTTAGGAAAAACAGTAACAAGTTTATTGAAATGTAGAAGAAGCTTGATGGATTCAATGTTTCCTACTCTTAGAGGCACATATCTTCAAAGGTTACATTTATAACTTTTCTTAAACAACTCTGGGACTCTTCCACTAAACAGGTTTCAAACTTATTTTTTTTCAAACTGTGTTTCTTTATTTAATAGATTACTTCAGTCACAAGCTTAATCTTTCTTTATGATGTTTCTGTTACAATAGAGACTGTCATTGGGTTTCTCTCACCCTTTCTCTCAACACTAACTATTTATATAAATAAGCCCACTTGACTTATTTAAACTACTCAGGCTAAAAGCCCAAACCTCCCTGATTCTTACTACAGTAGAATCAGTCCTTTCCCTGTAGTTTTTAAACTACAGATCCCTTCTGGTTCTCTCTACTCAACAGAAGCAGCCTCTCCTACAGTTCACAGACTGTAGACTATTTCCCTGATTCTCCTCCTAGAGAATCAGTCCTCTCCTGTAGCTCTCCGACTACAGACTAACTGTTTAAAATGGTCGCCCTGCCAAGTGGCAGTTGGCTCCGCCCTTGTTTCTATGGTAACCCAGCTCAACATAAGCTAAGCTGGCTGCCATCTCCCTTAGTTATGTAACTTTCAATACTTACCCTTTAAACATCTGTCTATAATTATACATAACATCTATAATTATACATAACTGCAAGTTAAAAAATTACACTTCACCACACCTAAAAAAAAACAAAAAACCACACCTACCATGGAGGATTCCATTGCTAAGTCTACATGAAAGATGGCCACCTGAACTTTTTTGAAATCCCACCAATGAAGGAGACTCAACCATCTTCAGAGGCAGGTTATTCCATTGCAAAATACTTCTGACTTGTATGCCATCAACTAATAGAAATCACTGGAATGGGATGCAATACTGCAAGCTGTTCAATGTAATAATGTCTAAATAATTTGTGCCCAGTCTTTCAAGGAAAGCCCTCCATTATCACCACTGAAGGAAGCTTCTTCCAGCTTGGAGGGCTGTCCATTGGCTGTAAACAACAATACTGGGAGCTGCCATACCTTGGGAAAAGGTAGGATGTTTGAAAGTGTCCTTCTGCAAAAGGTTTCCAACCACTCCCCATCGCAGCTCAAAACCTGAATTTGGTTCCCAGGATTAATTCCATGGCAACCATAGCAGTGGGACCAGTACCTGGACATGGCTTGTTGTCACACATGGCGAACTGGACCTTCTCCCCTTGGCACGGTGTCCCTCCTCCGGAAGGTCCAGGGCTGTCACAAGTCCGGATCCGTTCCTTGACCCCTGAACACGTCTCTGCACACAACGACCAGGGCGACCATTCAGACCAGTGGCCGTCCACTAAGAGAAAGAAAGAGAAACATTGACTACACTTTGGTGCCAGTCAATGTGTGTGCAGACTCAGGAACCAAGTTGACACAAGATGATATAACTGGAATTACAGTCCGCCCTCCCTGTTCGCAGGTTGAATTTCAGTGGATTTCGTGAATCTCTAGGTCCTTCAATACAACATTCTAGTTCATTTATGTTAGAAGTTGACTATGGATTTGTGCTGGAGGACCAAGAAATTCCTGGAGAAAACATTTATCTAACCCAGTGTTTCTCAACCTGGGGGTCGGGACCCTTGGGTGTCATGAGAGGGTTTCAGAGGAGTCACCAAAGACCAACAGAAAACATATATTTCTAATGGTCTTAGGAGACCCTTTGACAGAAAAGGCTGAAGATCTCTCTGCCTGTCCTTCTTTTCCTTTTTGGCAACAGACGGCGAATTCTCCCACCAAAAGCCCCCCTCTGCTGTGATTGGCTGGGGAGGGCTGTTTCTGAGACTCCAAGTGGGGATGGGGGAGTAGGCGTGCTCAGCGCATGGTAGCGTGGTGCGCATGAGATTGCGAGGGAGAGCGTGCCAGTGAGGGAGGCTCATGCCAGCGAGTCCCTTCAAGACATGGGAGCTCTGTGTGGGAAGTTTGGCCCAATTCTATCATTGATAGGGTTCAGAATGCTCTTTGATTGTAGGTGAGCTATAAGTCCCAACGACTACAACTACCAAATGTCAAGGTCTATTTCCCTGAAACTCTGCATGTGTGGGTAAGGGAGCGTGTGCGAGGCTAGAGGGAGGCTCATGCCAGCAAGTTCCTTGAAGGAATGGGGGTTCTGAATGGGAAGTTGGTGAGGTTCGGAATGCTCTTTGAATCTCACCAACCAAATCCCAGCAACTACAACTCCCAAAGGACGAAATCAATCCCCCCTTCAACCCACCAGTATTCAAATTTGGGTGTTGTGGGTATTGGTGCCAAATTTGGTCCAGTGAATGAAAATAATACTGCATATCAAATATTTACATGATGATTCATAACAGTAGGAAAATCCCATTTATGAAGTAGCAATGAAAATAATTTTGTAGTTGGGGGTCACCACAACACGAGGAACTGTATTAAGGGGTCGTGGCACTAGGAAGGTTGAGAAACACTGCTCTAACCAATTGTAGCTTCTCCAGTGCAATTCTCCATACACAAAAGTATAGGATCTGCTTTGTTCCTTCACATGCTTTTGTTGCATTTGTCTCCTGTTTAAGTTTGCAAGGCAATACGTCTCCCATTTTGGACCCCAAGCCAACCTTACCGGGACAAGATGGGAGGTCAAGACACGGCTTGAGGTCAGCAGAAGGACCCACACAGCGCATCCCGCTCTCGGGGTGAGTGCACCGGCGGATCCGCATCTGGTTCTGGAAGCCACAAGTGGCGGAACAGACGGACCACGGAGACCATGGGGACCAGGTGCTTTTGGCTGCAAGGGAAGAGCACACATAGAGCAGTCCTTCTTCCCCTTCTCTTCTAATGTACTTAACCACAACTCATTGGTGGAGAAGCAAACAAAAAAATCCTGCCTTAATCTCCAGAGTTTGGAAATATTACTTTGGGGGGATTAAAATAGAAAATCCACCAAGGAGCGATACCTCTGATCGGTCAACCCATAAAGGCTCAAAAGATATTGTGGGCTGAATCAAAAGCCAAATAAATGGGTCCTAGAGCAAACCAAGTCTTCCTAAAAGCTAAGATGAACTCAACAACATAGGCTGTCATATTTTAGACATGCCACAAGATGGCAAGGCTCAGCAGAAAAGGCAAGGTAGAAAGCAGTAAGAAAGGAGGAAGACCACGTTCCAGATGGAAAGACTCCTTCAAGGAAACGATGGCCTTCTGTCTGCAAGATCTCATGCTGATGATATGGTGACTTGGAGGTCTCTCATTCATAGGTTCACCATATGTCAAGGTTAATGTGACAAAGGATAACACCAGTGTCAGAAACAGGATGTTGGTAAGGTGGACCTTCAGCTTATCTTCTGTGGCTTCTGACATGTCTTTATGGCAGTGGTTCCCAACCTGTGGGCCGCGAGATATAAAATAAGGTCCACAGCCCTAGATTATTAAATATGGTTTTCTGTGGGCAAGCAGACTGCAACTACTGGATGGCATATGCTCTGTATCAGAAACTACAGCTGATGTGGACTATCCAATGCAATTTTCTGAAACAGCACCCCAAACAACCAAACTGAATCTAGAGTTGACCAAAAACTGATTTGTAACCCTTTTGGTACTAATGTTGGAGAGTGGTCCCTGGTCAAGGGGTCCCGGATCAAAGTGGTCCCTGGCCAAGTAGTTCTTGGTCAAGTGGTTCCTGGTCAAGTGGCCCCTGATCAAAGTGGTCCCTGGTCTAGTGGCCCTGGTCAAAAGGTCCCTGGTCAAAGTGATCCCTGGTCAAGTGGTCCCTGGTCAAGTGGTCCCTGATCTAGTGGTTCTTGGTCAAGTGGTCCCTGGTCAAGGGGTCCCTGGTCAAAAGGTCCCTGGTCAAAGTGATCCCTGGTCTAGTGGTCCCTGGTCAAAAGGTCCCTGGTCAAAGTGATCCCTGGTCTAGTGGTCCCTGGTCAAAAGGTCCCTGGTCAAAGTGATCCCTGGTCTAGTGGTCCCTGGTCAAAAGGTCCCTGGTCAAAGTGATCCCTGGTCAAGTGGTCCCTGGTCAAGTGGTCCCTGATCTAGTGGTTCTTGGTCAAGTGGTCCCTGGTCAAGGGGTCCCTGGTCAAAAGGTCCCTGGTCAAAGTGATCCCTGGTCTAGTGGTCCCTGGTCAAAAGGTCCCTGGTCAAAGTGATCCCTGGTCAAGTGGTTCCTGGTCAAAAGTCCCTGGTCAAAGTGATCTGGTCAGTGGTCCCTGGTCAAAGGTTCCCTGGTCAAAGTGATCCTGGTCAAGTGGTTTCTGGTCAAGTGGTCCCTGATCAAGTGGCCCCTGGTCAAGTGGCCCTGGTCAAAGTCCCTGGTCAAAGTCCCTGGTCAAAGTGGTCCCTGGTCAAGTGGTCCTTGAAAGTGGTCCCTGGTCAAGTGGTCCTGGTCAAAGTGGTCCTGGTCAAAGTGGTCCCTGATCAAAGTGGTCCCTGTAGTCGTCCCTAGTCAAGTGGTCCTTGGTCAAGTGGTCCCTGGTCAAAGTAGTCCCTGGTCAAAAAGAAAGGCTGGTAATCACTGCTTTATGGAAAGAGATTGCATCTCATTACCTTTGCAGTGGACGCCGTCGCCAACAAACCCGCTTTGGCACACGCAGTAATAAGAGCTCAGGGTGTTCAAGCACATTGCATCTTGGTTGCAGGCATGGCTTCCCCTTGTGCACTCATCTATGTCTAAAAAACAGGGTGCAAGAGAAGTGATGTCAAGCTTTCTATCCTAATCTGTGGACCATACCCCCCCCCCATATCAGTCCTGCACAAAGGGAGTCATAATGGGTGAACATGTAAAATTCACCACCGAGAATGTGCCTTTTCTTAAGGAACAGAGTTCCTAGATTCCTCCAACCAGAATGGCTGCTCATTGGATGGCTTGAGGATAGCTGGCATGGAGGATACTGGGAAATGAAATCCAAAAATTGACCTTTCTCAGCTCTAATAGGATTGGGTGAAGGCTGTGAGAGACATAGGGTAGGAACTGACGTATTGTGTATTAACACTAGTTGAAATATAGTTTCCAGGATTCTCAGAGGGAAGAGAATGGACCGGAACAGAAGATCCAAGAAGATGCATTATGTCCAGCACAGCAGAGAGGCCTCAGTCCACCTGCATGCTTTCCTCTGTAAGTCAGAGAGAAGAGCAAACCAGCTCAGTTTCTCGCCAGATCCAATGTCACATGCATGTGGAATTCGGCTTCTGAATTATGGGACGAACTCATGTCCAAGTGTGCATCCAGGCCCCCCGTCATGAGGAGAGAGACTCAATGCTTCCTCTACCTATGCAGCTGATCCGACCATCTCCTTCGAAACCTTTCGGGCAGCGGCAAAAATAAGACCCATAGGTGTTGACACACTCTGCCTCTGGCAGGCAGTTCACGGGCATCCCTTCTGCACACTCATCTACATCTTTGAAGAAAAAGAAAATGAGTTTAAATACCTGGTGCAAATATACCTTTACTTTATTTAGCACAGGAAACCCAGGCTGATAGTGTCGTACACCAGAGCAGGAACACCTCTGACCTTAAACACAATACCAGCTTGGTAAAATCAGCAAGCAGTTTATTGAAGAATGTATGTAGGCAAAGCAGTAAAAATAGCAAAAAAAAAAAAACCAGTAAAGGTTTAATATATAAAATAATCCATAAGCTTCAAGGGAAAACAAGATCCATGAGTACATAAAAATCCATGAAACTGGGCACTTGAATCCATGAAACAAGACAGCAGGAAAAATCCCATAGACAAAATTTGGTACATAAAACTAAGAGCACTTGAAAGCAAGATTGTGATAAAATTGCAACGTTGACCCAACTGAGGCAATTCTCTCCCATGAATCAGTATAAAGATTTTTCAGATCCCAAAACTGAAAGGAAAGCATTTCTCTTGACTTCTCCGCCAGATAAAGGTTTGTAATCTCTCTTATGCTGTAAACTAACAGATCATCTAAGTCTCTGAAGACTTTGGGCCCTTTCACACAACCCTATATCCCAAAATATCAAGGCTGAAAATATCACCTTGATATTCTAGAATATAGGGCTATGCGGTGGGCCCTTAGTCTCTGTTTACTAAAACGTTGCTTTCTGTCCAATCTTTCATTATCTTATCTCTTATTATCTTCTACACCTGATAGAACAACTTCTTCAGACAGTAGTTCTGAGAAAAGCTATGAAGGGCCTCTCCCAAGAATGTGGCTTGTGAATCTTCCTGAGGCAGCTCGGACCTCTCATCTGAGCCTGACTCAGGACCAAGTGAACCCTCATTCCCAATGCCAACAGACTCCGGTCCACCATCAGGAACATCATCCTCATTTCCATCCTGAACATGAGCATGAACATCAGACGCAATCATAGGCTGAAGAGGCAGACATACAACAGGTAGCACCTCCAAAATCTCCCATTAGGAAAAGAGTTCTTTCACCTCCAACCTCAGCTGGGGAACCTCGGATACTGAGTAGATATCTGGCTCGCATCGACTGGTCCAGATGTTCATTCTCCCTTCCCTCTGATGCTAGCATTTATTGGTTGCCCAACTTTTTGCACAGTTTTTCCAAATTCAGAACTTAGGCCAGAGTCTCCCAACCTAGGGTTGCGAGGGTTGCGAGGGGGTTTCAGAGGGTTTGCCAAAGACCATCAGAAAACATATATCTCTGATGGTCTTAGGAACCTCTTTGGCAGAGAAGGCTGAAGATCTCTCTGCCTGTATTTCTCTTCCTTTTTGGAAACAGACACCGAATCCTCCGCTTAGCTGGTCTCTCAGCCAAAGTTTCTGAAACTTCAAGTGGGAAGGGGAGAGCAGGTGTGCTCAGCGCATGGCAGCATCATGTGCATGTGCGGGCGAGGGAGAGCGGACAAGGCTGGAGGGAAACTCATGCCAGCGAGTCCCTTCAAGGCATGGGGGTTCTGTGTGGGAAGTTTGGTTCACTTCTATCATTGGTGGGGTTCAGAATGCTCTTTGATTGTAGGTGAACTATAAATCCCAGCACCTCCAACTCCCAAATGTCAAGGTCTATTTTCCAGTGTTCACATGTGGGCATTTTGAGTATTCGTGCCAAATTTGGTCCAGATCTATGTGTGTACAACTCCAAAACTCAAGGTCAATGCCCACTAGGCCCTTCAATTATAATCATTGTATAATCAGCATGTTCTGTGATTCACTCTGAGTCCCCTTCAGGTTGAGAAGGGTGGAATATAAATACTGTAAATAATAATAAATAAATATCTCGTCTTTCTCCCCGTTGGGACTCAAGGCGGCTAACCTAATAAAAAATTAAAATAAGACAGATACAAAATTTAAATAATCAATTAAATACTTGTGGATGGATTAAAAAATCCAATCAATCCAATACAATCAAAATAGCATCCAAAGCCCACCAATCTCCCCACTGCCAGATGGATAGCTGAAATACCACACTCTGACCAGTGGTGGCACTGTGGTTACATGTTTTCTTGGCCAGAATGGTTCAGATGGGGTTGCCCTTGCCTTCCTCTGAAGCTGAGTGTGACTTGCCCACAGTGACATGTAACCACAGTGCCACCACTGGTCAGAGTGTGGTATTGCAGCTATCCATCTGGCAGTGGGGAGATTGGTGGGCTTTGGATGCTATTTTGATTGTATCTGCTGTATTTTAACTTTATTTAAACTTTTGAATCTATCCACAAATATTTAATTGATTGCCCAAAGCCACCCAATAGGTTCTCATGGCTGTGTGAGGATTTGTATCCTTCTTTTGAGAGTTGTAGTCCAGCATTCAAACTACAACGGAAGACAAATCACTTGAGCCTCACGTTCAAGAAACATCAGTTTGTTCATTCTATTCCTATATGTTGCCCAATGGCTGTCTGTTATGGTATTCCAAGTACCAACAATCGGCTTTGTACTCAGCTCTAATAAAGCAAAGACATCAAGAAGCAAAGCTCACAATGATTTACCGACACAGTGTACACCGTTTCCCTCAAATCCTGGGTTGCAGTAACAGTTGGCCTCGTTGTAATTCCCATTACACATTCTGGTGATGTCTGGCAGGAAATAAGACAAAATATTTAAGTTTGTATGTGTGTATATGGCTGGTGTGCCACTGCCACACACAGGCTCCCACCTCCACAAATAGCTTTAACCAACAGTGTTGAGGAGCCACCAAAAGTCTTCCCTCCAATGACATTTCAGGTTATAGCGATCGCCATGAACATGTAGCCCAACCCTTGCCAATGTCCTCCCCAAACACCATACAGCCCACCACCCTAGGAATGCTTTCATTCAGGGACCATTTTGCCCAAAGCCCTCCTGTATATTTTGTTGGACATAGGGGTTCTGTTTGCCAAATGAGGTCTAGGGCCGTCGTTGATGGAGTTCAGAGTGCTCTTTGATTGCAGGGTTAACTCACAATACCTACAACTCCTATAAATCAAAGAAAATCATGTGAAGTTAATCCCCCAAAACCCCTCCAGTATGTTTAGTTGCTGGTTAGTTCTGCTCTGTTTGTTGTGCAGAGTTGAAAAGAGCAGGAAAGGGTTAAGGCCATGGGTGGGATCATGCAAATTCCACGCCAATTGAGAGAGTAAGAAACACTGGGATGTCTGTGGTGATTGGACATCCCAGTGTTTCTTACTCTCTCCATTGGACAAGGACGAAATCAATCCCCCCCCCCAACCCAAAAGTATTCAAATTTGTCCAGTGAATGAAAATACATCCTGAATATCAGATACTTACATTACAATCCATAACAGTAGCAAAATGACAGATATGAAGTGGCAATAAAAATAATTCTATAGTTGGGGGGTCACCACAATATCAAGAACTGTATTAAGTGGTCACGGCATTAGGAAGGTTGAGAAACTCTGTATTAAATCACAAGCAACAAAGAGATTTTGGAAAAAGAGACATCAAGTACCTTTCTTCACAAGAAAGAGCCTCTGAGCTACCAACACTCGTCCAGGAACGTCGGGGCTGAAATCGTAAACCAGCGCTCGGATGTAGCCAAAATCATGTTCCCTGGGAAAAGGGAAAGAGAGGTGAAAATGGGCCAATTGTGGAGACCCCTAAAAGCAAAGCATCCACTCGACTTTCATCTCCCAGTGTTTGAACTGCCTCTTTCCTGACTCAAATGTCATGACGCAAATGGTAACATGGGAAACACAACTATTGTATGAGTATTGTCACGTTGCCAGGGCTCTACCTTATTTAAGTAGAGATGAATCGAACTCCCAGTTTTAACAAACAGTTTAATTAAAACAGCACTTACTTGCTGGCTGTTTTTATAGTCCAAAATATAAAACACAAAGATAGCACACAGCTACAGAATAAACAAAAACTGATAGAAAAAATAACTTCATAGTCAAAAGGGTCCAGTCCAGTGGTCAAATGCCAAGAGTTCAATAAACAAAGTCCAGGGATCAAGAGTCTATAGCGTAGTCAAAAGTCAGTCCAAAGGTTCAAGGTTCCAGGATACCAAGATTACAGGAGACAGGTCAGGATACCAAAAAATCCAACAGACCTGGGGGGGAAGGAACAGCAGCATCCACCACCAAAATACAACAGATACTTTTCTCCCAAAGATCAGTCTCAAGGTTAGCTCCTTAAATCCAGTAACACCCAGCTGCAACCCATCTCCTGCACACCTCCACCCCTAATTGCTTTCACCCATGAACTCCCACTTACAGATTACCAAACCCTCTAGAATACTCATATTAACCATTCCATCACCACCACCATCAACTGCAGAACATATGACAAGTATATATTAGGGTTGTGCAATTCAGGTATACCCTGTACCATTTTCCGTGTCCCCATTTCAATGCTTCCCCAGCCCCACACCCCGTTCTGTTTGGCCCAATTTTATAATTGGTGGGGTTCAGAATGCTCTTTGATTGTAGATGAACTATAAATCCCAGCAACTACAACTCCCAAATGTCAAAGTCTATTTCCCCAAAACTCCACCAGTGTTCACATTTGTGCATATTGAGTCTTCATGCCAAGTTTGGGCAAGATCTATCATTGCTTGAGTCCACAGTGCTCTCTGGATGTAGGTGAACTACAACTCCAAAACTCAAGGTCAATGCCTACCAAACCCTTCCAGAATTTTCTATTGGTCATGGGAGTTCTGTGTGCCAAGTTTGGTTCAATTCATTGGTGGAGTTCAGAATGCTCTTTGATTGTAGGTGAACTATAAATCCCAGCAACTACAACTCCCAAATGACAAAATCAATCCTCCCCAACCCCACCAGTATTCAAATTTGGGCATATTGGGTATTTGTGAATGAAAATACATCCTGCATATCAGATATTTACATGGCGTTCATCATGGGAGTTCCGTGTGCCATATTTGGTACAATTCCATCATTGGTGGAGTTCAGAATGCTCTTTGATTGTAGGTGAACTATACATCCCAGTAACTACAACTCGCATATGTCAAGGTCTATTTCCCCCCAAGAGTGCCTCAAGAGCGCCCCTGGGCAAAATCAACTATACTGCAAATGCTTACTTTACGTAATGGTTGAGCCGCCCCTGGTCACCACAACATGAAGAACTGTGTTAAGGAGTTGTAGCATTACGAAGGTTGAAAACACCGATTTACACCCTTAATTAAGTTAGTAGAGAATTGTGTACATTGTGTTGGACCAAAATCCCCTCTAGTTCTTGCTCAATCCCTAAAATAAAAGGTGGTCACAGAGTGGGAAGTTGGTGAACACTTTTCTTTCTATAGGAAGCGAAGCAAGCATACGTTAAGCTTTCAATCTGAATCCCTTCTGTGGTGTCAGCCAGGACCACCGGAGTGCTGGCCAGCAGTCCCATCGGTCGCGGCTCCTTGGTCCACTGGACAAAGCTGGAAGGTGGTAGCTGGAGGTACTGGGGCAAGTAAATGGCAACAGCACTCCCTTCCAAAAACTCGCCCAACTCTAGAATCGAAAAGATAAAAGGCAATTGAGAAACCATTCAATCTACTCACAGTGAGAAAGCCCTTGCCCATCAGAATCTGGCTCTCTTCAAAACATCAACCCAAAGTAATGTCAGAAGGTGGCACAAGGTAGAATAATGAGTGTAGATGGGCCATGGACTCCTGGGAGTTTGTAAATCTGCATATCCCAGGATTCCATAGCGTTTAACCATGGCAATTAAAAGGATGTCAAATTGCATTAATGCACCTGAAAGCACCCATTTCACTTGCAAAATTTGAGTTACCTAGTGAAATTCCTCTATACGCAACCTCATATTTCCTTCCTCAGTGATAACATTTGCCACCTTGGCCACACTCTCACGTCACTTGGTCATGGTCATGCCTACCATATATACACATGTATACGTTGGCTTCATGTATAAGTCGAGGACAAGTTTGGGGTCCAAAATTATGGATGTTGATATGGCCCATGGATAAATTGAGAGCTATTCCATGTAGAGGGGAAAGCACCAATGCCATGTTAAGGGTTTAATTCAGATATGGGCAAACCCAGGCCCGGGGGCCAGATGAGGTGCTTTGGGCTCTTTTCTCAGCCCCGCCTCTCTCTCACCATCTTATCCTTCCTTCTCTTTTCTTCCTTCCCTCTTTCCCTCTTTCTCCTTCCTTTCTTCTTTCCTTCCTCCTTCCTTCCTTCTCTTTTGTCTTTCCTTCCTTCACTCTTTCATTTATCCCTCCTTCCTTCCATCCATCCATTCTTCCCTTCCTCCATTTCGTCCTTCCTTCCATTTTTCCTTCCTCCTTCCGTTTGTCCTTTCCTTCCTTCCACCTTTTCTTCCTTTTTGTCTTTCCTTACTTTCTTCTTTCTTCCCTCCTTCCCTCTCTCCTTCCATTATTCCCTCTTTTCTCCCTCTCTCCTGCTTTCTCTTTCCTTCCCTTTTGTCTTTTCTTCTTTCTTTCTTTTCTTTATCCTTCCCTTCCTTCTGTCCTTCTCTTCCTCCTTTTCTTCCTTCTTCTCTTCCTTCCACCCATCCCTTCCACCCTTCCTTCCCTTTTGTCCTTCCTTCCTTCCCTCTTTCCTCCCTCCTTCCCTCTCTCCCTCTGTCTCATTCCATCCTTCCTGTCCTCCCTTTCATCCTTCCTTCATTCCCTCTTTCCTTCCTCTATCCCTCTTTCTCCATCCTTCCCTTTTGTTCTTCCTTCCCTTAGTTCTGTCCTTCTCTTCCCCTTTTTCTCCCTTCCTTCCATCCATCCTTCCCTTCCACCCTTTCATCCTTCCTTCCTTCCTTCCCTTTTGTCTTTCCTTCCTTCCTTCTTTCTTTCCTTTATTCCCTTCCTTTCGTCCTTCTCTTCCTCCTTTTCTTACTTTCTTTTCTTTTTCCTTCCTTCTTCCCTTCCCTCCCTCCTTCCCTTCCACCCTTTCATCCTTCCTTCATTCTTTCCTTCTGTCCTTCCGTCTGTCCCTTTTGTCCTTCCTTCCTTCCCTCTTTCCTCCCTCCTTCCCTCTCTCCCTCTCTCTCATTCCATCCTTCCCGTCCTCCCTTTCATCCTTCCCTTATTCCCTCTTTCCTCTCTCTCTCTCCCTCTTTCTCCCTTCCTTCCTTTTGTCTTTCTTTCCTTCCTTTATCCTTCCCTTCCTTCCATCCTTTACTTCCTCTTTTTCTTCCTTCCTTCTCAGGGAGTGCTAGCATGCGGCCCTCAAGTTAGAAAGTTTGCCCAAGCCTGGTCTAGTTGCTTCCGGCAGGTGTCACCATCTAAAATGGCCAATAGTGGCACTGCAGAAAAGGGAACCTATGGTTGGTGGTTCTCTGAGGTTCTTCTGAGATGGACTAAGCTCTTGCCCTTTACCATTCTACTCAGAGAAAGGGGTGGTTGCTTTTTTGTTGAGAGTTTGATGAGTGCTTACTCACATTGACCCATGGAGAAGTCAACCAAGGTTTTTTAAATTGATATTTTTACTCTAATTTCAATACGTTATACTTTCCCCTCACTTGTTGAGTCAAAACAAGGTCCACAATCTGTCAAGCGGTTAGTGAATCCCAAGTTGAGCAGACTTACCTATGGGTCTGCTGTCCAGCACAAAGTAGTATCTCAAGCTAGACGGATTTAACATCTCAAAGACCGTCAGATCGTAAACCTCAGCCTTGGCTGGTTTGGCCAGTGGTGGGTGCAGTCTCACCTCCGCCCAGAAAAGGTTTGGGTAGAAATCATCCTCCTTGATGGAAAGCAGGGTCAGGACCTGGCCGTTATGGCCCATAACCCCCCTCAAGGTGTTGCCCAACCTTCTTCGATAACTGCAAGGCAGTGGACACAGTGAAATGAATGTCAGAAATATATATATTTAAAAAACTACATATTTTTAATTACAAAAATGTGAGTCAAGCACTGAAAGGGTTAAATAGATGCAATGACTCAATAAAAGCTGCAGTTCAATATAAATGTGCCTCTAACTTTGTTCTGTCGTGCGCTGGGCCTGTAAGGAATTGTCTTTAGGACAGGACGTGCAACCTTTGCCCAGCGGGAAGCCAAGGGGGCCCAAAGAGAAGTTCTCAGAGGTTTTCCACCACAAATAGTCTTTAGGTGGCTTGTGAAGTATAACAAAGTCTTTTATTCATGAACAATCAAACAGAAACTTCTCTTGTCTTCAGAAAGTTAAACAAATGATTCCAGGCTTTTATGCAACTGGTAGCTTTCTAAACTTGCCCACGAAGGGCAGGCAACTGTCTTCAATAACTTCTTCTTTAAAGGAAAATTCCCTTTTTAACTTCTCCCAGGCTGACTGTAATCTAACCCTTACTGATGTGGGCTCCGCTACCGGGTCGAACTGCGTCTCGAACGCCAAGTGGACCTACCAGTAAGGCAGTAGACTCTCCAGCTGGAGTTCTTTGGTCTTTAGAGCTGTTTCCCTGGAAATCTTTGGTGACTCTAAAGACTGTTTTCCCCTAGAAAGTCCTCAAAGCTTTGGGGAGGCTTCCCTGGAGTTCTCTGGTTTGCTCTTAAGACTGTTCTCCCCCGGAAGGTCTTAAGGGTTGAAGCTTTTGTACAGGGGAAGCTTGCACACATCCTGTACATTAGTTTTCCTTGCTGAAACTAACTAAAAATGGCTCCCTTCCCTTCCCAATTGCCCTGAGGAAGGGGCGGAACCAAACTGATGATGGACAGGTGACTTGCCCTATGTCTGCAACCAAAAGAAGCCACCTATCTGCAGAGTCCCTGAAACCCAGGACTGCAACCAAACATTTAATACAAAGCAAATAAAGTTGGAGCTCCTGGTACAGCTGTACCAGAACAAAATATTGCAACCATTAAAGACAGAGGCTTCCTCTGTATTGCAATCTTAACACACCCACATATTTGGCACAAATGTAGGCATGTGTACACAACACAGCACACCGAGAGATATACATCCACTCATACTTTGACTTGAGCATCATATTTGGCAAAAGAAAGGGACTAGAGACCAGGTTACCAACATACCTGTTGAACTGCGGGCTTTGGCCAGAGTAGAATTTGTACCACTGCACAATGTATGAGCGGACGTTGCCGGAGGTGGAGACCGAGACATTGAAGGTGACTTTTGGTTCTGTTACGGTGAGAAGACACACTTGAACTCCCAAGCCATCACAAGTAGATGCGTTGGAAACGGTGACATGGAATACAGGGTCTACAAAGGCAACAAAAGTAGTTCCAGCTTTCTTTTCAGAAGGAATGTTGACTTATGGTAACTTCTGGTGGACTGGGCTTAAACTGCCAGCTGCAGAAAATCTTACCAATCAAAAAGTTGACAGTTCAAACCTTGGTTGGGGTGAGTTCCCAATATCAGCCCTGTCAGCAATGTGAGTAGATAAATAGGTACCACTTTGGCGGAGAGGTAGTAAAAGGCACCCATGTGAACATGCCAGCGATTTAATCAGGAAAGCATCTAAGGGCAACAAAGCTCTTTGGCAGGTATGATGGAGTGACAGCACCCTCCTGTGGCCGGAGTAGAGAACAACCTCCAGATGCCGAAGATGGAAAAAGATGGAAAGCCTTTACCTCTGCTTATGTACTGTCTGTCTTTGTTAACTGTATAACAGCATTGAATGTTTGCTGTATATATGTACTGTAATCCGCCCTGGGTCCCCTCGGAGTAATAGGGCAGAATATAAATAAAGGGCAGAATATAAATATATTTTTGTATGTTTCCATATGGTTCGCTATTACAGTGTTCCCTCACTCCTTCATGGTTCGCTTACCGCGGACTCGCTGTTTCGCAGTTTTCCCTGCACGGCCCTCCTCCTCCTCGCCTTCCCTCCCTCCCCCCCTCACTTTGTCTTCTCTTTCTTCTCCTCTTTCCCCTCCCTTCCTCCCTCCCTCGGGCGCTCATGCCACCCTCTCCTGGAAAGAGGGATACTTGCTCCCCTGGCAAGAGGGATACTTTCGCCTGTGCGGTCCTCCTCCTCCTTGCCTTCCCTCCCTCCCTCCTTGCCTTCCTTTCTCTCCCCTGCTGAGGCTGTGGGAGAAAGAAGAGGAGGAGGAGAAAAAGAAGATGCTGGGGCTGGGGAGGAAACGGAGGGAGCCGCCAGAGCCGCTGCTCCTGGGCCCAGTGGGGGCAAAAAGGTTTGGAGCAAAGAGCTGGCCAGGCTGCATTGGGCCACCAATGGAGGAGACCTGGCTGAAGTGCGGCAACTCCTGCAGAATCAGCACGAGCCGAGCAAGAGGGACAAGAGAGGGGAAAGCGATGGAGGGGAGGGCACCCGAGGGAGGGAGGAAGGGAGTGGAAAGAGGAGAGGAAAGAGAAGGTGACATGAGACGGGAAGGAGCGTCCCTACTTTACGGTATTTCCCTTATTGCAGGTGGTCCTGGAACGGAACAGCCGTGATAAGTGAGGACACAGTATCCTCATTTCTGATTTCCATAGTAGCTTCCTCCCAGCCACTGACAACCCGAGCTTCAAGAGTCAGCGCTGAGTCCAGGAGGACCCCCATACTGTGGACTTGTGTCCTTAGAGGGAGTGTATCCCAATCAAGCACAGGTAGCCACCCTATACCCTGATCGGTCCCACAATTGACCAAAAGGACCTCAGGATTTATCAGAATTCTGTTTCAGTTTGTTAGCACTCATCCAGTCCATCACAGCTGTCAGGCACTGGTTCAGGACCTGAGCTGCTTCCTTGGCATTAGGTGGAAAGGAGTAATAGAGTTGTGTGTCATTTGCGTACAGATGGCACCAAACTCCAAAACTCCAGATGACCTCACCCAGCAGTTTCATGTAGATAAGTGTTGCCTTCTTAATGCCGGGAACCCTTAATACAGTTCCTCGTGTTGTGGTGACTCCCAACCATAACATTATTTCCATTGCTACTTCATAATAGATGTGGACCAAACTTGGCACGAATAGTCAATATGCTCAAATGTGAACACTGGTGGAGTTCAGGGATAATAGACCTTGACATTTGGGAGTTGCAGTTGCTGGGATTTATAGTTCACCTACAATCAAAGAGCATTCTGAATCCCACCAAGGATAAAATTGGGCCAAACTTCCCACACAGAACCACCATGCCTTGAAGGGACTCAGTGGTGCAAGCCTCCCTCCAGCCTCATATGCTCTCCCTCACCTGCACATGCGGTGTGCATACACCAAATCTGCTCTCCCCTCCCTGCTTGGAATATCAGAAACAGCCCTCCCCATGGCTGAGAGGCCAGCTGAAAAACTGGCCAATCACAGCGAAGGAGGGCTTTTGGTGGGAGGATTTGCCATCTGTTTCCAAAAAGGAAGAGAAAGACAGGTGGAGAGATTTTGAGCCTTCTCTGCCAAAGGGATTCCCAAGACCATCAGAAATATATGTTTTCTGATGGTCCTTACTGACCCCTCTGAAACCCCTTCACAAACCCCCAGGGTCTAAAGAAAGGAATGTCAAGAGGCCTCTGGCAAATTTCAGGAGACTCCTTCCATTTTGGTACCAGGCGAAGCTTATTGTAAGATTAATGAGCTGGCCATCAAGAGGCTTCAGGAAGAACTTATCTCAAGATGGCTTCAGGAAGAACTTGCTATCAGGGGTCTAGTAGACATTCTGGCGATGGTCCTCATTAATAGCACCTCCTCAGATAAAGATGCTCAAAATAAAGACTGACAGGTGTTGAAGTTAAAATATGCCATTGAAGTTAATGTAAAAGTAGAATTTTGTGATGCACATTGTGATGCCTGTATGATGCATGCATATTATTTTAAAGGGTATATAAACCAATACTTTTCTTTGCTCTGTACCCTGTTTTTCCTGGACTACCAGCCGGGTCCATATCCAGTTGGCGCCAACCGAGAATAAACCATGCGTTTTCAGACCTCAGGAACTCTCTTTGTCTCTTTTCCTCAAACCTTCTTCCTGCCATTTCAGTAGGTGCCTAGTCAAGCTGGACTATTGGATGACACTTTAGTCACAGACACAGCTATCCTTGCACAGTGAATAATATGGGAGACCAATGTTTCCATGCTTTGGTTGCCTGTAGCCATGTTTAAGGCCAAATGACTAATCCCATACAATTTCTTAGCCTGTGTTTCAACCATTGGAAATATACCTACTGAAATCTTCACATCCCCAAAGGCACCATCTCACCTTTTTCTCCCCACTTGCTTCTCTAGACAGGATGAAATGCTACAACTAGCAATTAACCTTTCAATTCAAGCTCAGATTGATCTTAAAAATATTCACATATCTAACTCACCTTGGCAGGTGCGTATCCCATCTCCTCTGTAGCCTGGTAGGCAACGGCAATAGAAATCCGATGTGAGCTCGTCTTGTTGACAAATTGCTTTCTGGTGGCAATGAATCTTCCTGGCAATGCATTCTTGTTTATATGGATCTAAGGGAGTGAGGATGACAATGGTGCATCTATCAGCTGAGAAGCGCTTCCAGTAGAGCTTAAGGATGCATACTTTCAGCTCTCCATGCGAACTTGCATGCCAACTTAGGTTGACCCCATGAAATTCATAGGGTTTTTTTAGGTATTGCCAAAGAATGAGCAGAATAACAGCAAAAAAGAGGGCAAGAAGGATAAACTCGCACATAATTTAATTGACCACTAAATGCCACAAGGCCAAGGTCTGTCCATCTTTTCTATACAACTAAAAATACCAATTCAGTAGGACAGAAATATTGGCATCGTAAAGGAGGTAGCGGTCAACATCACCAGAAAAGGAGCCTCTGGGAACAGGGCCTCCTTCCGCAGAAAAACACAGTTAAAAGCCGTGGGGAGACTTAAAGGTTGGCAGTTTGTATCCACAAGACAGGGTGAGTTCCCACCTGTCAGCTCCCGCTCCTGCTAACCTAGCAGTTCGAAAAAATGCAAATGTGAGTAAATAAATAGGTACCGCTTCAGCAGGAAAAGGCAGAGAGACACTCCAAGCAATCTTGCCAGTCACAAAACTAGGTTTGGAAATGGAGAAAGCACCTCCCCAGAGCCAGAATCATAGAATCCTAGAGTTGGAAGAGACCTCATGAGCTATCCAGTCCAACCCCCTCCCAAGAAGCAGGAATATTGCTTTCAAAGCACCCCCGACAGATGACCATCCAGTCTCCATTTAAAAGCTTCCAAAGAAGGAGCCTTTACCCCACTTCAGGGCAGAGAGTTCCACTGCTAAACTATTTTCACAGTCAGGAAGTTCTTTCTCATGTTCAGATGGAATTTCCTTCCTTGTAGTTTGAAGCCATTGCTCCATTGCGTCCTAGTCTCCAGGGCAGCGGAAAACAAGCTTGCTCCCTCCTCTCACGTATTTATACATGGCTATCATGTCTCCTCTCAGCCTTCTCTTCTTCAGGCTAAACATGCCCAGCTCTTTAAGCCCCTCCTCATAGAGATGAACACTGCCTCCAGAAGCCGGAAATGAAAAGAGAAGCCTTTGCCTTTGTTTGTGTTTGTTTGTCTTTGTTGTATATGACCGTAAAGGCATTGAATGTTTGTCTATATATGTAAATGTTGTAATCTGCTATGAGTCCCTTAGGGCGGAATGCAAATAAATAAAATGTATTATTGAAAGGGATGCCATAAAGCCATTCATCCCAATCACGTCATAATCTAAACCCTCCTGAAAGATGGCCATCCTGCCTGTTAAAAACTACCAGAGAAGGAGACTCGATGAGACTCTAAAGCAGCATATGTTTGCTATTTCTCATTCATAGGGTCATATGTTGAGATTGACCTAACAATACATGGAAACAACAAAGGCTAAGAGCGGTGGCTAATACTGTATATTTTTGGTGGCCAAAAAGATCCTACATACATGCTCCAAATAAATGATCAGGGAGTTGGACTTGGGCATGTGTCATATTTCATTCTTCTCACACTTTCTGTTGAAGGTGCTTACCTTGGATCTTGCTTGGAATTTGCATCGTGATGAGGCATAAGAGGAGGAAGAGGAGAGAATCCAGGATGGTGGCCAGCATTTTTACTTTAAAGAAATGCATGTAGCCTGCAATTTCCTGGATACAGGAGGGTCTCAGGAGGACCCCGGTGACAGCATGGCTCTGCTGGTGAGGCCTCTCAAGGTATCCTTGTACCTGGGAACTGAAGGTGTCATGGCCTTATGTCCGCGTTTGTTTCTGTTCAAATGGTTCCAAAGCTTCTGATTCCGAGATGTGGAGGGACCTCAGAACAAAGGCCAATAGTTCTGAGCCATGGAATTCTTAGAAAGTGTGCAGTCACGCGTTGGGCCTGTGGGGATGTCTGTTAACAGGATGTGCTATCTGAATGCCCAACAAGACGCCGGGGTGCCTCGGCTGAGAGGCCCTATAGATTTCCCTACACAAAGTTCTGCTGAGGTTTAAGATAAGTCCAACAAAGTTCTTTATTAAGGATAAAATCTTCAAAACATGGAATAAACACTCTATCACTTTGGAAAATTGGTAACTTCTTCAATCTGCCGACGAGGGACAGGCAACTGCTGAATAAACTGTTCCTTTCTTCTTTAAGGGAAATCCTTTGACCCCTCCCTGGGCAATCTCTTTACTTTGCTGGCGTGGGCCCTACTCCCGGTTCCAAAATGCGTAATGGGTGACCGGAGTAGACCTTACCAGGCAAAGTCTCTGTAGATTTTCCAAGTTGAAGGAAGTCCTTTCCTTTCCAGCAAAGCTGGCTCTATTCCCCTTTTTCCAGCGAAGGCTGGCTGTAGCTATATTTCCCCAGCGAAGCTTGCTGTGAGAAACGAAGCCTTTTACAGGTGGGAGAGAGAAAAGCTCACAACGTCCTGTCTGTAAGGCTTCACTGTAAAGACTGAGCTAAAGTGGGTTGTTGTAGGTTTTTCCGGGCTCTATGGCCATATTCTAGAGGCATTTTCTCCTGACGTTTCGCCTGTATCTATGGCAAGCATCCTCAGAGGTAGTGAGGTCTGTTGGAACTAGGAAAATGGGTTGATATATCTGTGGAATGACCAGGATGAGACAAAGGACTTTTGTCTGCTGGAGCTAGGTGTGAATGTTTCAACTGACCACCTTGATTAGCATTTGATGGCCTGGCAGTGCCTAGAGCAAACTAATCACCTCTCAACAAAAGATTGCCCCAGGGCTGCATCATACCTGTTTGCCCATACCTGTTCTACACTGACCACAGAATGACATTCCAATCTGTGCAGATTCAGCCATTGGTGAAAGAAATGATGCAGTTCAAAGAGAAAGCTAAGCATGAGTTCAATCAAGAAGAGGATTTAAAGCCATGAAAGAAGACTCAACTAAGTGAGGTTGAAGACAAAGACCTTTTTCATTAAGGGGCTTAACTGGGGATATAAAAGAAGGAAGGCCTAGAGGCCCGTTGCCATGCGTTTTGTGTGTCTATCGGCTTGGGCTCTTCTTCTTGTGACTCGTCGGAGTGCTGGGTTCGGAACTGATCAGTGACGGGACTTTTATGCCTTTTTGCCTCAATATCTGATGGAAGTCCAAACGGTCGGTTATTATTTTCTGGAAAAGAGATCGAAAAAGGCAGCAGTGAATCTGTCCCTCATGGTCCTCCTTTTCCAACAGCTCCCAGGTCGACTAACACTGAATGGCTTTCATTACCTGCAAAGCCTCCAAGACATCATCGTCGGTGATTTCGGCCTGGGGCGACTTGGTCCCCGGAGTGCTGTAGGTCGCCTGGATGATTTTGCTGCGAAATCTTTCAAACTAAAAGTTGAAATGTGTGATCAAAACACTAAAAGTTGAAATGTATGAAGAATTAAAATATGTTTCCTGCTCAGAAGCAGTGGCTTCCAATCTGAAACTAGGTTACAACCATTCCTCCATGTTTGTGGTTTTGACCTTTGTGGGTTTGATTATTCACAGATATGTATAAAATACATTACTTCTACGAATCTCAAGGTCCTCTGGTGTGAATCTCGAGCCAACGTCCTCCAGTCATGCTGGAGACCTAGAGATTTCTAAAGAGAACTCCTCTGGACCAAACTAGGCACACATTACTGGGGGGGGGGGGGGCTGACCTTCCTTTCTGGGAGTAGTTCACCCGCAACCAGAGAAACTATGACCTTCACCTGGACCAAACTTGGCACACAGAACCATAACTAACTCAACCTACTGGAGGGGTTTGATGGGACTGACCCACCATAGTGGGAGTTATAGTTTACCTTACAGCCAGAGAGGACACTGAACCCCACTGATGATCTTTCTCCACTTTGGCCCCTCAGCTTTGGAACTCGCTACCTAGTGAGATTAGACAAGCCCCTACCCTGGTACCTTTTAAGAAAGACCTAAAAACTTGACTCTTCCAATGTGCCTTATTCCATATATTCCATATTTTGTCTGTTCCAACTACAGTTTCCATCATCATGACGCACTTTCCCCCCGCCCTTAATGAAGGTCTAACCCCATTGTTCGTTCCTTTTGAGCTCCTCCCTCAGAAACACATTCTTCCACCACTTATCTCATCCAGGATTTTATCCTAGTGCATTTTGCCTGCCCACTGTGGTCTATTTCTCTAGCATGTTATTTTGTTTTTGTTTATTTTATTTTGTTATTTTATGTATTTATTTTGATGGTATTTTCTGCTTCTTTGTATTTTGTTTTACTGTACTGTAATTTTGGGCTTGGCCTCATGTTAGTTGCCCCAAGTTCCCTTTGGGGAGATAGTGGAGGAGTACGAATAACGATTATTATTATTATTATTATTATTATTATTATTATTATTATTATTACTACTACTACTAGCTGTACCCGCCACGCTTTGCTGTGGCCAACATTCCCTCTTTCTCTCCTTTCCCTCCTTCCTTCACTCCCTCTTTCCTTCCTTCCTTCCTGTCTTTCCTTCTCTTCTTCCTTCCTTCTCTATCTCTTTCCTTCCTTCCCCTTTTCTTTCTCTTCTGCTGTCTCTCTTTTCTTCCTTCTCTCTTTCCTCCTTTCTTTCCCTCCCTCTTTCTCTACATTCCTTCCTTCCTTCTTTCTTTCCCTCCCTCTTTCTCTTCTCTTCCTTCTCCTTCCTTCCTCCTTCCTCTTCTCCTTCTTCCTTTCTTCTTCCTTCCTTCCTTCCTTTCCTCTTTGCTTCCATGCTTCCTTCTCCCTTTCCTTCTTTCTTTCTCTCCCTCCTTTTCTTTTCTTTCTTTCTTTTCTCCCCTTCCCTCCCTCTTTCTTCTCTTTTTTCTGTATTGTCATTTAGCTTTTTTGAAGCTTTTTAAGTCCCTTCTGCTGTGTTTTTTAGTGTTTTTATGAGTGAAGGACATACATTGGGTTGTTAGGTGTATTGTGTCCAAATTTGGTGTCAATTCCCCCAGTGGCTTTTGAGTTCTGTTAATCCCACAAACGAACATTACATTTTTATTTATATAGATTATTATTATTATTATTAGAGCAAAGTTGCCCAACATGACAAACTTAAACTACTGATGAAGTTTCAGGAGTTGTTTTTTTTTTTTTTTTTGTCGTGTCAGGTGTGACTCCTGGTGTGAGAGAATTGGCTGTCTGCAAAGACGTTGCCCAGAGGACGCCTGGATGATTTGATGTTTCAGGAGGTTAACCTGGCATGATGTGAATTGTAGTTCACGCACAACCTTATGCATTTTGTACAATTAAAAAATCAACTTTTTCAAATAACCTGGGCAACGTGGGGTACCCAAGCTAGTATGTTATATATAAATTACTAGCTGTACCCGCCACGCATTGCTGTAGCCAACCTTCGCTCCTCTTTCTCTCCTTCTTTCCTTCCTTCCTTCCTTCCTTCCCTTTTCTTCTTTCCTTCCTTCTCTACCTCTTTCCTTCTTTCCCTCTTTTCTCTTTTCTTCCTCTCTCTTCCTTCTCCTTTCTTCCCTTCCTCCTTTCTCTTTCCTTCTTTCCTTCCCTCTTCTCCTTTTTTTTCTCCTCTTTCCTTCCTTTTTTGCTTCCATCCTCCTTTTTCTCCTTCTTTCTCCCTCCCTTTCTCTCCTTCGCTCCCTTCCTTCCTTCTCTTTTCCTTCTCTCCTTCCTTCCTACCTTCCTTCTTCTTTTCCTTCCTTCTTCCTTCCTCTTTCCTTCCTTCCTCCTCCTTCCTTCCTTCCTTCCTTCCTTCCTTCTTCCTTCCTCATCATTCTCTCTTTCTTCCTCCATGCTTCCTCCTTCTTTCTTCTTTCTTTCTTTCTTCTTTTTTCTTTCTCCCTTCCTCCCTCTTTCTCCCCTTTTTTTTCTGTATTGTCATTTAGCTTTCCGTCATTTAGCTTTTTGGGGCTATTCCTTTCTCCTGTTTTTTTGGGGTGGGGGTGGGTTATGAGTGATGGTCACTCGTTGGGCTGTTGGGGTTATAGTGTTCAAATTTCGTGTCAATTGGCCCACTGGTTTTTTGAGTTCTGTTAATCCCACAAACTAACATTACATTTTTATTTATATAGATATGACACTCTTACAATGGGTTGTTTTGCTAGTAAAAGTGAATGCAAATGGAGGCCTGTCTCAAAAGCTTTGGAAAGCCCGGCCTTAAATAGTCATATAATCATGCATGAAGAACTCAAAATCTCTAGATATTTGCTGTTTGTCACTTTCATTGGGGATTTCTCCTGCTGCCACAACCACAGATGGGTGGCTTGATCAAAAATGCTGTGGAGAGCTGCAAGGAATACCCGGGCACTGATGCTTTCCAGTGTGACTCTGGTTTGCTGCTCGACTCGTTGCAGGACCTCTAGTTGCCTCTGAAGCTCATTCTGCTGAGTCTGCTGCGTCCCAATGTGGTGGTGGTTCAAGAACAACTCGGCCTGGAGCTGGTTGACACTGCTTTGTAAACTGTCAATCAGCTGGCTCTTGTCGGCAAGATTGGACTCCAGGTTGGCAATATCCTAAGTGATCAACAGGAGGTGGGGAGGGAGAGCAATACAGGTTGAGTATCCCTTATGTTGGTGTTTCTCAACATTTCTAATGCTCCTCATGTTGTGGTGACCCCGACCCTAAAATTATTTTTGTTGCTATTTAATAACTGTAATTTGCTGCTGTTATATATCATAATGTAGATATCTGATATGCAGGATGTAGATATCTGATATGCAGGATGTATTTTCATTCACTGGAGCAAATTTGACACAAATACCCAATATGCCCAAATTGGAATACTGGTGGAGTTGTGGGGTGGGGGTTGATTTTGTCCTTTGGGAGTTGTAGTTGCCAAGATTTATAGTCTACCTACAATCAAAGAGCATTCTGAACTCCGCCAACCATGGAACTGAACCAATGTTGGCACACAGAACTCCCATGACCAACAGAAAATACTGGAAGGGTTTGGTGGGCATTGACCTTGAGTTTTGGACTTGTAGTTCACCTACATCCAGAGAGCACTGTGGATTCAAAGAATGATGGATCTGGACCAAATACTCAATATACCCAAATGTGAACACTGGTGGAGTTGGCAGATGAAGTAGTGTCAAACTGCATTAGTAATTGCATCTTAAGCCAGGTTGAGTATATTTTTTTTATATCTTAAAAAACCTATGGTCCTTCTAGAAATGAGGAGAAAGCAATAAAAAAATGTGTGGTGCTTCATGACTAAGATGTATTTCTATGTTTCTGACTGTTTGCATGGTGCTATCCTCAGCTAGCAATGTCTGGATATTGAGGAAATAAAATATATAAAAGAGTAAGTTACCCGTTGAAGCTTATTATTCTCCCTCTCAATGGATCCCATCATTTCTTCATGCTTCCTCTCCTCTCGCAGGTTGCAAAACTAAACAGAAGGCATAAAGATACAGATTCAACATTAATAAGAAGGCAGAACATTTGTGAAGGAGATGTAAAAAAGAGATCAAAAAAGGTCCGTAAACCTTGACATCTGAAGAAAAGCTAAGACTATTCACCAAGGTTCCTGTAGCGGACACCATCATATTAATCACCCACAAGTTCGCAGAAGACATCACAGCCCTGTTTCACCATTGTCTCACTAGTGGGACAATTCTATGAACACAAAGATGGAGTAGCTATGGGGAGTCATCTCAGCCCAGTCATAGCAAATTTCTCCATGGAACACTTTGAAAAACAAGGCCTGGAAACAGCAACCAAAAAGCCCATTATATGGTTCAGATATGTGGATGACACCTTCACCATTTGGAGCCATGGGGAAGAACTAAACAAGTTTCTGGACCACCTCAACAGTGCATTGAACATTGAAAAAACCAAGGTGCTGTTCCAGCAGACACCAGCCAACCCCTCTCCAATGCCAGTGATACAGCTTAATGGTGTAACATTAGAAAATGTTGATCATTTCCGCTCCCTTGGCAGCCACCTCTCCACCAAAGTCAACATCGACACCAAAATACAACACCACCTGAGCTCTGTGAGCGCAGCATTTTTCCGAATGAAGCAGAGAGAGTTTGAGGACCAGGATATCCGTAAGGATACTAAGGTGCTTGTTTATAGAGCTATTGTCCTCCGAACCCTGCTATATGCCTGTGAGACGTGGACTGTCTACAGATGTCACATGCAACTCCTGGAATGATTCCATCAACACTGCCTCTGGAAAATCTTGCAAATCTCTTGGGAAGACAGGCGGACAAACGTCAGCGTGCTGGAAGAAGCAAAGACCACCAGCATTGAAGTGATGGTCCTCCGCCATCAACTCCGCTGGACCGGCCACGTTGTCCAGATGCCCGACCACCGTCTCCCAAAGCAGTTGCTCTACTCCGAACTCAAGAAGGGAAAACGGAATGTTGCTGGACAGGAAAAGAGATTTAAAGATGGGCTCAAAGCCAACCTTAAAAACTCTGGCATAGACACTGAGAACTGGCCCTTGAGCGCTCCAGCTGGAGGTCAGCTGTGACCAGCGGTGCTGCAGAATTTGAAGAGGCACGAATGGAGGGCGAAAGGGAGAAGGGTACCAAGAGGAAGGTGCGTCAAGCCAACCCGGACCAAGACCAACTCCCACCTGGAAACCAATGCCCTCACTGTGGAAGAAGATGCGGGTCAAGAATAGGGCTCCACAGCCACATACGGACCCACAAGAATACTGGAAGACAATCCTCCTCGGTAAATGAGGGATTGCCTAAGTAAGTATCCACTCAAACATCCAATTCACCATGGAAAAAGAAAATGAAGGAAAACTACAATTTCTAGATGTCCGAGTCATCCACAAACCCAATCAACAATTGGGCCACAGGGTTTACAGAGACCCCACACACAGAGATAGATACCTACATAAAAACTCCAACCATCACCCAAGTCAACAAAGAAGCACCATTCAAGCCTTGGCAGACTGTGCAAAAAGAATCTGCGAAGCCCACCTCCTCCAAGGTGAACTGAACCACCGCAACTGGGCTCTCCAGGCCAATGGATACTCCACCTCAGAGATCAGAAGAGCTGCAAGATGGAGAACAATCCACGAGAAGAAAGACAAAGATTCGCCCGGAGGAAAAGTGTTCTTGCTATACATCAAGGGAACCACTGACCACAGAGGGAAGCCCGGCAGAGGACAAAAGTAAACAAGGGAAGCATAATAGATTATAGCTTCACAGATTGTTTTTGCATGGTCTGCCAGAGCTGCAATTGTGCTTCTTTGTTGACTTGGGTGATGATTGGAGTTTTCCTTTTTCTTTTTCTTTTTCTCTCTTTTTTTCTCTTTTCTTTTTTTAATTCTAGAGGGATTTTTTTGTTTTTCCTTTTCTCTCTCCTTTTATTGTTTTAAATACTATTCGTTTATTTAAAAGAGCTTCAATAAAAATTACTAAAAAACAAAACAAAAAATAGTACCTTGTGAGACATTGCTTCCAGCTGGACTCCCCGCTCTCTCAGCTCCTTCTGCAGCATTTCCTGCTCTGCGTGAGCCCTCCGGAGCTGGGATCCCTCAAAAGACAGCTGCCTTTGCAAGGAAGATATTGCTCCTAAAGGAATATGAAGACAAACTCTTTAAGGGTACCTCTAGATAGTGTTTGTCAAGAGTGGATGGATGAATGAAATTGTATGATTGGGGTCTGGATAAGGACCTATTAAGACTTGACAAGGCTGAAGGTTACATCCTAAGAAGATGGCCTCAAATGATATTATGGAGGAGGTGTAGATTGACTGTGGCATGAAAACTGATGAACTGACAATAACTGATCTGTGAAGCTCTGGTATTTCTTTATCAGGTCATGAGTAAATTGAGAATACAATTATAATGTATAGAAAAACAAACGAAGTTAAAAACTTGTCATTATACCAATTGTCCTTTGACCAGAACCTGGCCACTTGGAGTGCCTCTGGTGTCGCTGTGAGAAGGTCCTCCATTGTGCATATGGCGGGGCTCAGACTGCCTTGTAGTAAGTGGTCTATGGTTTGCTCTCCTCTGCACTCGCAGGTTGCAGACACCACCATTTCTAAAGATTGGCTCAGCATCTCGTGGTTCCAGAGCACAATGTGTTCAGCGCCTTCCAAGTCACTCAGTCTTTTGTGTGCCCAGGAGGGAGTTTGTCATCCAGTCTCGGCCACTGATTGAGTTTCTGGGTTTTTGCCTGCCAGTTTTGGACTCTCGCTTGCTAAGGTGTTCTGTAGAGCTTAGGAAGCTCTTTTTTAATTTAAGACATTGGCATGCTAGCTGATATCCGAACAGAGGATGAGTCACACTCTCTTAGCCTCATAGGAAGGCAACAGCAAACCTCTTCTGAACAAAATCTTGCCAAGAAAACTTGTCTGGTTTTTTTTGTCAGGAGTAACTTGAGAAACTGCAGTCAGAAGTCAGAAATGACTTAATGCCACACAACTATAACAACAGGGAGGACACTAGCCAATCTATCTAAGTTCTCTATATTCTAATTTTTCTTTTCTTCGCTTAAGTTACCAAACAATTTCAGTGGACTATATTGTGAGGGGATATAATAATAATGCTGGGGAAAGTGGAAGGCAAAAGGAAGAGGGGCCGACCAAGGGCAAGATGGATGAATGGCATCCTTGAAGTGACTGGACTGACCTTGAAGGAGCTGGGGGTGGTGACGGCCGACAGGGAGCTCTGGCGTGGGCTGGTCCATGAGGTCACAAAGAGTCGGAGACGACTGAACGAATGAACAACAACAACAACAACAACAACAACAACATAATAATAATAATAATAATAATAATAATAATAATTGTTGATTGGGATGACTAGGACATCTAGAAATGGCAGGTTTCCTTCATTTTCTTTTTCCATGGTGAATTGGATGTTAGGATGGATGTTGTTGAGGTGGTCCAGGAACTTCTTGAGTTCTTCTTCTCCATGGCGCCAAATGGTGACAGTGTCATCCACATATATGAACCATATAGTGGGCTTTTTGTTGCTGCTTCCAGGTCTTGTTTTTCAAAGTGTTCCATGTAGAAATTAGCTATGACTGGGCTGAGAGGACTTCCCATTACTATTATTTGACACATAACAAGATTAGCACACAGCAAACAAGATCACTATACTGGCTGTTGTATTTGATACACGTCAGACACTTCCCAAGTGTCTAGGAATGTGTGATGTATCAGCAAATAATGCGTACAGATCTGAGCAGGGTGGCCTTTTGCAGATGACAGATGGTAATTTTGTCAGTGTCGATTGTTTTTAAGTGCAGGCCAAGGTCTTGAGGCACTGCACCCAGTGTGCCGATCACCCGTGGGACCACCTTGACTGGCTTGTGCCAGAATCTTTGCAGTTCGATCTTTAAATCCTCATACTGTGTCAGCTTTTCCAGTTGCTTCTCATCAATTCTGTTGTCGCCTGGGATTGCAACATTGACAATCCTTAATTGGTTTTTTTCCCACGATTGTGAGATCAGAAGTCTTGTACTCCAAAACTCTTTCAGTCTGAATTTGGAAATCTCAGAGTAGTTTGATGAGTTCATTTTCTGTAACTTTTTCAGGCTTGAGATCCCACCAGTTCTTTGTCTCAGGCATATGGTATTTGTGGCACAAGTTCCAATGCAAACATTGAAAGCATTCAATACAATCTAAAATATACAAATATTAAAACAGTATTACACACCATTAGAATTAACAATCCAATTTTAAACAATATGTCTATGAGTCCTATCCTAAAGGTCATTCTGTATCACAGAGTCAAATTTTGTTTTTAAAGCAGAGGAACACTGAACTTCAATAAGATCTTTCACACTCTGACATGGAACTTATAAAAAGACATTTTAAACATATTTTTGTGATACCCCTACATTTTAGTGGAACACAGTTAGGCAACCACAGCCCTAGGCAGCAAGGCCATTGTCGGCATGGTTGGAAACTATTGGGAGGTGCCATTTTTTATAAAGTAACTTTTCCAAATTTTTGCTGGCTTCCAAAGGAATTTATGGGATTCTATGCAGAAGGCCCTTCTCCTCTTTCTTACCTGTGGCCACTTCATAATCATCTTTGGCTTTCTGCAATTCCTCATAAAGCTCAACGTTCATCCTTTGGAACTCAAACAATTTGCGAACAATCAGCTCTTCATCTGTTTCTTGCATGGTTTCTGCCTCCCCTTCAACTTCCAAAACCTCCTTCGACTCTTTGGATCCGCTGTCGAGGAACATCTCGTCCCCAAAATCCATCATCTCCCTCTGCTGTATTTCCATAAACTGTGGGAAGAAGACAGACAGACAGGAAAGAGCTGCGATGGAGAAATTTCTGAGGAAAGAGAAAGAAAGAGAGAGGATGCCAAGCCCCCAAAGGAAAGCAATAATAATATAATAATATACTTTATTTATCTCTCCAAGGGGACTCAGGGCAGTTTCCAATGAAAGTAACAAACTGGCAAACATTCAGTGGCAAAAAGAAACAAATAAACAAGACAAACAATAGGTAAACAATCTTAATATATATACACATAAAAAGTGAAAATATGTCTGTGTGTATGGCTTCCACTGACAGGCTCCCACGTCCACAACTATTGCTCCCACTATTTAGGAGACACCAAAGGCCCTCCCTCCAATGGACCTCCCTCCAATGACATTGCAGGTTATAGTGAACGTCCTGAACATGTCCAAGAGCCCTGCCAGTGTCCTCGACAAACATCAATTTTAAAGAAAGCCTCCCTCAACCCCACTGTTTTGAACACCTACAGACCAATCTCTAACCTTCCTTTCTTGGGCAAGGTGCTGGAGCGGATGGTTGCCTCTCAGTTCCAGGGATTCCTAGATGACATTGACATCCTAGACCAGTTTCAGTCCGGGTTTAGGCCTGGTCAGGGTACTAAGATGGCTTTGGTTGCCTTGGTAGATGACCTCCGCAGGGAACTGGATAGGGGGAGTGTGACCCTGCTGGTTCTCTTGGACATCTCAGTGGCTCACCCACCTCATAGGAAACCTGCTACAAAACAGGAGCTTTTTTGTTGAGTTCCAGGGCCAGAGAAGCAGATGGCGGAAACAGAAGAACGGCCTGCCTCAGGGGAGCGTGCTTGCCCCATCCATGTTCAACATCTACACAAATGACCAGCCACTGCCAGAAGGGACAGAGAGTTTCATCTATGCTGATGATCGTGCCATTACTGCTCAAGCAGGGAGCTTTGAGATGGTAGAACAGAAGCTCTCCGAAGCTCTAGGTGCTCTTACTGCCTATTACAGGGGAAACCAGCTGATCCCCAACCCATCTAAAACACAGACATGTGCCTTTCATCTCAAGAACAGAGAAGCATCCCGAGCTCTGAAGATCACCTGGGAAGGAATCCCACTGGAGCACTGCAGCGCACCCAAATACCTGGGAGTCACTCTGGACCGTGCTCTTACCTACAAGAAGCACTGCCTGAACATCAAGCAAAAAGTGGGTGCTAGAAACAATATCATACGAAAAGCTGACTGGCACAACCTGGGGATCACAACCAGATACAGTGAAGACAAGCAAATAGAATATCATCAAGCAAAAAGTGGGTGCCAGAAACAATATCATACGAAAGCTGACTGGCACAACCTGGGGTTCACAACCAGATACAGTGAAGACATGCCCTTTCGCTGTGCTACTCTGCTGCTGAGTATGCATGCCCAGTGTGGAACACATCTCACCACACTAAAACAGTGGATGTGGCTCTTAATGAGACATGCCGCATTATCACGGGTGTCTGCGCCCTACACCACTGGAGAAATTACACTGCTTAGCCGGTATTGCACCACCTGACATCCGCCGGGAAGTAGCAGCCAATAGTGAAAGGACCAAGGCAGAGACATCTCCAGCTCATCCCCTGTTTGGGTATCAGCCAGCACGTCAATGACTTAAATCTAGAAATAGTTTTCTAAGATCTACAGAGACACTCGCTGGAACACCTTAGCAAGCGAGAGTCCAAAAGTGGCAGGCTCAAACCCAGAACCTCAACCAATGGCTGATACCAAATGAGAGACTCCCCCCTGGGCACACAGAAGACTGGGCGACTTGGAAGGCACTGAACAGACTGCGCTCTGGCACCACGAGATGCAGAGCCAACCTCAAGAAATGGGGCTACAAAGTGGAATCCACGACATGCGAGTGTGGAGAAGAGCAAACCACAGACCACCTGCTGAAATGCAACCTGAGCCCTGCCACATGCACAATGGAGGACCTTCTTGCAGCAACACCAGAGGCACTCCAAGTGGCCAGATACTGGTCAAAGGACATTTAATCAACTACCAAACTCACAAATTTTGTATTTTGTCTGTTTGCTTGCTCTGTTCTGTTAGAAATGTAATATAATTGACTGGTTGCCCTGACACGAGAAACAAACAAACAAGTGGCTTTTGATACCATCGATCATGGCATCCTTGTGGGCCGGCTCTCTGGTATGGGATTTGGGGGTATGGCTCTGCTGTGGCTCTGGTCCTTCCTGGAGGGTTGTTCCCAGTTGGTGAAACTAGGGGATACCTGCTCGGACCCCTGGCCTTAGACCTATGGGGTCCTGCAAGGTTCCATTCTGCTCCCATGCTTTTCAACATCTACATGAAACCGCTGTGCATGGTCATCCAGAGTTTTGGAGTTCGGTGCCATCTCTATGCGGATGATGCCCAACTCTACTACAAATCCAAGGAAGCTCAGATACTGGATACTGTGTCCCGTCACTGTCACAGGTGTGACTGGTGAGAATGAGAGAGAGGGCTTTCTCAGTGATTGCCCCTCGGCTATGGAACCCCCATTCCTGGTGAAATTAGATCAGCCCCCTCCCTCCTGTCCTTCAGAAGGATGGTAAAAACCTGGCTGTGGGATCAAGCTTTTGGGACAGTGCAATAAGGCAACAATGGAAAACTTTACTATGCCAACCAGATTTAATGTGGATGATTGAGATGGTTTGAAACAGTGGTTTTGAATGCTGAGATAAATTATTTTAATATTTATGTATGTGTATAATCTATTTTTGTCCCGGCATTCAGGGTGAGAAGGAAGGAATATAATTTTGTGGCTCAGTCTGAGCCTGAGTCTGAGACTGAATTGTTGGGGCCTTCTGGGCCTGTTGGGCCTTGTGAGCCTGACTTTCTGCAGGATGACGAGGAGACTGATGGGTTACAGATTCCTGTACATGTTCCAGACGGGGCTGATAGCGTGGCTCCTGAAGACGAAACAGCAAGCCTGTTCCCCAGGGAAAGGAACATGCCTTTTGATAGAGATAGTGAAACTCCACAAGTGCAGGTGGAGACTCCTTTCGGTTCCCAGAGTGATCGGCCCAGCTGGGCCAAGATAATGAGTTGTTTAGCCTTGAAGATAATAGTGATTCAATGAGGAGACAGGATTGTTTACAATTAAGAATTTGCAGAAGCACACATCTTGCCAAAAGTCAACGCAATGCTTTCATGTCAGGGAAACTTATTTAATGATGTAGCCGACAGGCATTTCTTGTCAGTCCAATGTTGCTCTTTCCCTGTTAACTTCTGTGGAATTACCTTGGATTTTGCGGAACGCTCCTGGCTTCTTTGGGACTTGGATTTTGATCCTGATTTTACCCGTCTACCATGGACTCATGTTTGACCATTGCTAAGGGATTATGCTTCATGTTATTTGCCTTTGGATCTTGGGAACTTTGCCATTGCATTTAAGACTCTGTTTTGCCTCTTGCACTTTTGCATCTTTATTTCTCTGTTTTGATTTTGTTTTTTCTCAATAAACTACAAAACCTACAGCCTTGGTGTGTGGTGGTGTCTTGAGCAAGGTGAAGCTACCCTGAGTTGCGACAGATAAATGTTTTCAATAAATAATAAATAAATAACAATACTTTCCAGGACATGTGAGATGGCAGATAAGTGAAGTATGGGATCTGAAGAGATGGGGGTCTCATTTTAACCTGCCATGAGGTCTGGGAGGCAGAACAAATGGGCAACAAGAGCTGTGAGTTGATAACCTGCAGCACACAGAATCCGTCCCATCAGTCTCTCTGCTCACCTCCTTCTCGAATTGCTCCAAGTCCTCCTGGTCCTTCAGCAGCGTATCGTTCAGGGTCTCCAACTCGGGGACCGGGATTTTATCCACTTGGGATACATCCGACTTGCGAGGCTCTATTTCTCGACGAAAGTCTTCCAGGATGTTTGTATGATCCAAATGTATCGGCAATGAGTGACCACGCTTGTACGGCCAGGCATCACTGGTTTCCCTTTTTGTGGATCCTCCCGGACTCTCCTAAAGGGAAAGATTTGGAGATGAGTATGCAAACTAAAAAAAAACACAAAACTATTATTATGAGGCTCTTGAGCAAAGAGGAGAATCCTCCTGAAACAACTAGGCTCAAAGGAGGTGCGATATGTATAGGAAGAGAACCGCTAGCAAGTCAGATCCTTTTGCCATCCAGAACAATATTGTCTAATTCAACAAATATCTGAGATCTGAGGCAGAGCAACGTCTTTCCCATTGTTGAGACCAGAAGTGTGCAAAGTGAATTTCACAAAGTTAGAATGGATGAAAGGGGGGGGGGGGGGGAGAGAGAAAGCAAAAAGGGGCAAGAGGGGTGAAGGAATGTCATATAGATAAGCATTGCTGAGGAAAAGTGTTTAGAAGGTCAAGAAATGGACCAGGTTGACCCAAGAGATACAAGGGAGAAGAGAATGTTTTATAGGAGTTGTAAATACTGGGATTTATAGTTCACTTGCAACCGAAGAGAACTCTAAACTCCACCAACCATGGACCTGGAACTAACTTGGCACAGAGAACCCCCATGACCACCAAAAAATACTGGAGGCCTTTGGAGGGATTTTTAGGAGCTGTAGTTCACCTACATCCAGAGCGCACTATGAACTCAAACAATGATGGATCTGGACCAAACTTAGCATGCATACCCAATATGGTCAAATTTGAATACTGGCGAGTTTTGAGAAGAATTGGTCTTGACATTTTGGAGTTGAAGGTACTGGGATTTATAGTTCAGCTGCAATCAATGTGCATTCTGAATTCCACCAAAGATGGAATTGGACCAAACTTGGCACACAGAGCCCCCATGGCCAGCAAAAAAATACTGGAGGCCTTTGGAGAAAATTCACCTTAATTTGGGGGAGTTGTAGTTCACCTACATCCAGAGAACACTGTGAACACAAACACCGATGGATCTGGACCAAACTTAGCACACAGACCTGATATGCCAACATTTGATTACTAGAGGGGTTGGGTTGACCTTCCTTTCTGGGAGTTGTAGTTCACTCACAGCCAGAGAAACTGTGATCTCCACTGATGACGGGCCTGGATCAAACTTGGCACACAGAACCCCCATGACTAATTCAATCTACTGGAGGGGTTTGGCGGGACTGACTCGCCATAGTGGGAGTTGTAGTTTATCCTACAGTCAGAGAGCACACTGAACCCCACCGATGGTCCATCCAGAGCAAACTTGCCCAACAAATTCAGGGGCTTAACCTGGCATGATGTGAGTTGTAATTCACCCACAACATTATACATTTTGTACAATTAAAATTTGACTTTTTCAAGTAAGCTGGGTTCCCAAGCTAGTTAAGACTATAAAACCCATCATACAGAGACTGTCAAATGTGGCACTAAGTTGACTTGATTGTAATTACCCTTAGTAGTTGTCTGCAGACTCAAACTTTGGTATGTTAATCTCCTCGATCTTTAATTGGGAAGCAAATAGGCCTAAAGATAGACAAGGGAGCACTGTGCATCAACACCATTAGCTGGTATAGGAGAGAGGCTAAACAGAGGCTGAATAGCCATCTGTTGGGAGTTCTTTGATTCTTCTTTCCCTGCATAGCATGGACTGGATGGCTCCTGGGGTCTCTTCCAACTTTGCAATTCAATGATTCCATGAGATATTTTGCCTGCAAAACAGACCCAAGTTCTTGTCCGTTCCCTTTTTTGGCACTAGGATTTTATGTGTCGTGCCCTTTCCGCTGTGGAAACACCAACTCCATCTATGGCTTAGTAAAAGCACTTTGCAACACTTTGATTTATATCCTTTCCAATTTGATGATTCAATGCACCCGAAGCGAGTGCTGCCAGGCCAGATGGCGTGACACAAAACTTGACAAACCTTCTCATCTTCCTTCTCCTTTGAGGCGCTCCTCTCGCTTCCCGTCTGGAGCTGCTTCTGCATGGCTTCCACTTCCTCCCGGAGGATGGAGATCACGTCATCCTTCCGGGCACATTCGGCTTCACAGCTGGCCAGGCGGGACAGCTCGTCCCCCAGTTTCTGCAGAGAGATATCCTGCAGAGACATGCAAAATGAGAACCATGGAGAGGAAGTTCAGCTAAATCACAAATCCATAAGAGAGTCAAGACAAAGATCCACCCAGAGGGAAAGTATTCTTGCCATACATCAAGGGAACCACTGACTGCAGAGGGAAGCTGATGAGGAAACACAACATACAAACTATCTACAGACCCACCAAGAAAATCCAACAAATGCTACGTTCAGCAAAGGAGTCTACCGTATACCATGCAGCTGTGGACAAGTCTACAGAGGGACCACCAAACGCAGCAGCGTTGCCCAAACACGAATCAAGGAACATGAAAGGCACTGCAGACTGATTCAACCAGAGAAGTCAGCCATAGCACAGCACCCGATGAACCAACCTGGACACAGCATATTATTTGAGGACACCACTCTCACAACCACCATGTCAGACTACACAGAGAAGCCATTGAAATCCACAAACATGTGGTCAATTTCAAAAGAAAGGAGGAAACCATGAAAATGAACAAAATCTGGCTACCAGTATTAAAAAAACTCTAAAATTAAAACAGCAAAACAACAGAGAGGAAACAACCAGGGACATCTAATCACCTCTCGACAAAAAATTGCCCCAGGCACTAACAAGCCACACCAAACACCTGCCAGGCCATCAAATGCTAATCAAGGTGGTCAGTTGAAACATTCACACCTAGCTCCAACAGACAAGAGTTCTTTGTCTCACCCTGGTCATTCCACAGATATATAAACCCTTTTTCCTAGTTCCAACAGACCTCACTACCTCTGAGGATGCTTGCCATAGATGCAGGCAAAACGTCAGGAGGGAATGCCTCTAGAACATGGCCATATAGCCCGAAAAACCTACAACAACCCAGTGATTCCGGCCATGAAATCCTTCGACAATACAAATACATAAGAGCTGCTATAAGATATGATCTCAACAAAAGCTGTAACAGAGATTTGCAGATGAGAAGGAACCAAGCATTGCTCATTCCGAAAAGAGAAAAGCAGCAGACAAAGGTTTGCTTGTGCTCCCATGTCGGAGGTTATGGAAACTTGCTCAAGCCATAATCCCAATGCAAAGTCTAGGATGGTGGTTCCCAGCCTGTGAACCATAGCCCACCAGTGGGCCATGAGACCTAAAAGAGGTCCGTGAGACATGCTGGGTAAATTGGCGTTGGGGGCGTGCTGCCATTGGAGGAGAGCAAGAGAGGGAAGGAAAGCTAGAGAAGGAAGGAGATGACAGCGTGTTGCTCTCACCATCGCTTTCTCAGCCTTGGGAGGCTTCCCAGGCTAGGGTGGAGAAGACTCGCCCAGCGGCACGAACAAGAGAAGGAAGGAGAGGAAGAGAAGGAAGGAAGACCGTTGTGCTTGCCAGGACTTTCTCGGCCTTGGGAGACTTCCCAGGCCAGGGTGAAGAAGACTCACCTGGCGGCACGAATGAGAGAAGGAAGAAGAGGGAGAGAGGCTTGGGAGGCTTCCCAGGCCAGAGTGGAGAATAATAATAATAATAATAATAATAATAATAATAATAATAATATTTATTATTTATTATTTATTTATTTATTTATTTATTTACTTTGTTTATATACCGCTGTATCTCAAGCCCGAAGGCGACTCACAGCGGTTCACAAACAGTAAAAACAGTAGAAACAGCAGTGGTTCCATACAACATATAACAATTGACTTAACACATTATCCATAAATTACCAATAAGCAATTACAATGCACAATTATTACAAAAAACAACCGTACCCAATCTTCTCATCATCCAAGCGTAGTCCAGGTTCGTCGTCCATTGTTCCATAATATAAACTTTATTTATAATAAAGTTTAATAATATAAACTTTATTTATTTAATAATATTTATTTAATAATATAAACTTATATTATTTATTTAATAATATAAACTTTATTTATACCAAGTTGGTTCATGGAGGGAGACACTGTTGCAACCCAGAGCAGGAAACTGGACCCTCAGACAACAATCCACCACACTTGACTTCAGGAAAACAATCCTTTTTTATTGATCAAAGATGAATACAAAATAGAAGAAATATGCAAAAGTAAAAAGTCACAGTAAATATCAGGAACAAGAAATGTCCACAAACAAGATCATGAAATCCACAGGAAAAACTGCTGAATCCTGTAACCTGTTAGCAATCCACTAACCGTACTTGGAACAACTAGAAAACCTCCGAAGGCCACTGGAATCAGGAGACCTGGAAAAGCTTGCACATGAATCTGGAACGATGCCTGGTCTGAAGCTGCATTCAGGCCAGGCATACTTAAGGCCGAGAAATCTATTGCGAGACATGCCTGAAGATTTTGTTTGCATTTCTCTCAATCTGGCTGACCTACGTAAACTTTGTGCTTCACCCCGGCTCTGCCAAATCTGCCCCCACCTATCCTCATTAGGGAGACCAGGTGTCAGATGAGAACTAAGACTGGGAGGAAAAGGGAGTGAAACGTCTGCCACATGTTCTCGAATTCTGTTTCACTTGAGACTGGTGGAAAGGCGTGCAGAGCTTGATCAGGAGACACTGTGTCCAGTCAGTAGTTTTTGGGCGATTAGGATATACTGCTAAATG